CAGGAGCCATGTAGAAAATCTCTAATTGTTGCTCAATTTTGCTGTGAACTGAAAACTACTCTATCTATTTCGTAAAAAAATTTGGAAATTTCAATGAAAAATTTCAAATTATAAATGTTGGCAATGGATCTATTTAAAAAAAATATAACAGTGACAGGTTAAAACACATACATATCCTCTCTTTACAAATTTGTTATAAAATTTGTGTGTGAGTTCTTGAGTTGATAGTGAAATCTATAGGAAAAAGGGTAAGGAATTTAAATTTACTCAGAAACCTATGAGCTTAGAGGCAAGTCTTATGACTGTGAGGGGTTAAATTTAACACCTACAGGACAGAAAACTATACAATAACAGACTCCCCAAGGAAGTTATAAGGCTAAAGGTTTGGGCAATCAAAAAGAACAATGGTATCCACGGACTGGCAGCTAAAGAAAATCCCAAAACAAATTTTAAAGACTATGGAGATTGGCACTATTATTTCTAAGATACAAAATAAAATAATTGTCATTTACAGAATACCTCTTGTGTGCCAGCTAATATTCTAGTTTCTTTACATGTATTATATCTAAAATCCTTCAAAATAGGTAGGTTTCATTTGCAAATAACCTTTTTGGAATGGACTTGCTTTCTGAATGGGAAGTCAGAAATAGTCCTGCTAGAGACAAATGAGCTGTAGGAAGGTTTGTGAGGGCTTCATAAATGATAAGCTAGGGCTAGAAGTACACTGGCTCGATGCAGTGGAAAAGGAATGTAATTTGCAATATGCTTACTATGTGCCAGATACTCTAATAAATGATTACATATCTTACTTAATTATCAACAATTCTGCAAAACAGGAATCACAATTCCTGATTTTACGGATGGAAACGGGAGGCTCGGAGTAGCTGAGTAACTTGCCAAGGGGTCATACTGGTGTGTGGTAGAGTCAGAATTGAAATCCATGACAGTTTATTACAAAGCTTTCATTCACTTACGTCAGGCCGCTTTTACCAATGTCAATAATCTTGCTTACTTCTATTTATGTTGCTCAAATTCATTTTGTCTTTTATCTCTAACAGAGTGCTCACATCAAGGAACCTGAGGAATCAACAGACTTTCACAGCTGGGCAGGGCATTAAGAATTCAGGCAGTCAATCTTCCCACATCAGCAGTCCTAAGGCCTATTAAGTTTATGTGAACATCCAAAGTTCACTGCCAATTAATAATACACATCAGTATCTCCTGACTTCTGGTTCAGGGCTTCTTTCATCAAGACTATTAGTTATACCAGAGTAAATTAAAAAAAAAAAAGCCAATTCTGACAAACATTAAATCCCAAATTAATTTTCTTATCGAATATAAAACTAGCGCCAGAATTAACATGTACTTGATTAAAATGAATGCAGAAATCCTTTACTTGTGAGAGCTAATCTCCCTAAGTAAAAGGTAATAAAGAATTACTATTTGTATAACTTTGAATTTACATAGTTAATTACAGATAGTAATTACCATTCACAACATAGCTCCAGGTTGTGGTTTTCAAATTAAGGAAATAAAATACTAATAAAAATAAGCTAATTAACTTTAGATATTGTGAGAGAAGAAACCAGAACAGTTAGGATGGTAACTGTGAAGACCATTAGTATTTAATATTTCTTGACTGCAGGGGTAATGCAGGGAAAAACTTAAAAGCTTCATTTCCGAAGAATCTTTAAATATGGCATTAGTATCACCTGGGATATTTCCAACTGCAAGTAATTGAAAAACCAGGTTGAAAGTAGCTACAAAAGTGAGGGGTTATTAAGCTTACACTGCAAGAAGTCCAGAGACAGGAAGGTTCCAGAATTGGTTAATTCAGCATCATAATATTATCATAGGCATTCCATAGGCATTTCTACTCTACCATACTCAGTACAGTCAGCTTATCTTCCTTCCCGATCCAAGCAGTTCCAGATGCCCCACATAACACAACAATATCCAAAACGTAAGAGAGATATCTCCTTTTAGACATCTGTATTCTGGAGGAAATGGTTTGAGCAGCTCCCCAGCAGACTTTGAAATTTCCTCCAACTCCCACTGACCAAGGTTAAGAGTCCTGCTTTCAAAGTAACTAACAGGGGGAATGAAACCACCATCATAGGCATAAACAATAATTATTTACCTACTCGGGTTGAAAGAGCACAGCCTGCATTAAGTAGGTGGTCTTGCAGGCCCAGAATCAAGGTAAAAATAGGTGTTCTTTCAAGAAGTCAGGGGAAATGAATATGGGTGGGAAACCAACAGTTTCCCTTCCAGTGAGCTTCTTTAAGAAGTAGAAGAAACAGAATTAGTTCTATTCCTGCCCAGAAAGTCAGGATTTTTAAGTGGTAAATTAAATATTGTGATGACTGTTATTCAGAAAGCAGAATATATTACTTGAGCCTACTCTACATAACTTTCAATTTCGATTTCACAGCAACCATGTTGTTATGCTTTTGTTAAACACTTTTTTTTGGGTCATATGCCCTGCCTCACCAGTAAGTGAGACTTAGATGAGGAAATACATATAAAATTCAGAAGAGTCCTGAGGGAGAGAGGAAAATTTTAAGGTAACAAAAAAAGGAGTTTACATTCAGTAGAGAAAGGGAATTAAACAAGCTCTTTCCCAAAGTAGAATTTTTTTTCATTATAAGGAGTTGAAAGATAAGTGTTGGAAAATAGACAAGAGAGAATGGGGTAGGGAAAGGTTCCTGAGGGCAGGAAAAAGAAAAAAAAAATCAGATACTTTCACTGGCAGAAAAGAGCTATTGATCTTACATTTGGAGCAGGGATAGAAATGAAAAATGAGGGAGGTAGGCTGCATAAACAGGATATCGATATTCATAACTTAGAAAGTTTTTGTATTATTCATTAAAATACCATTCAAAACATTCTTTCAACTTTTGCAGAGTGCACCTTCTGAATAACCAATCACAGTGTCCTTCCACACACAAAAAATCTTCAAATATAAATTGTATACTGCAGATTATTTTTACCAGCTAGCTTCAAAATGTATGTCATGAGTTAAAAGGGCAGACTTAACAAAAATAGGTGGATGTCATTTTTTCTGGAATCGTACCATTCCCTGAAAACTGGAGATACACGACCTACTTGTCTCCAGAAGTCCAACTTTAGTTTATAAATGTGTATGTAATATTTCAATAAAATAAAATTTCAAGTATTTTCAAGTATTTTAAAGAAAGAGTACTTAAAGTTAGATGTTTATAACATTACAAAACATGGAGATAATATCACATGCCCAATTATATGTCCATAAGCAATAAAAAAGATCCTTTCTGCTTTTGACTCAGAATACTTACTGATCCTGTTAAAACAATTCCAGAACTCCTTAGATTAGCAATTCCTGTTTTAGAATCTCATCTTATTTGGGAATCCAAAAAAATACATAATAAATTTCAGATCAATCACTTCCCGTATTTACCAGCCTTAGCAGCTAGAGACTTTGGAGTTCTTTCAAAAGTGCAACTCCAAACTCAAAGAACAAAAATTTGCCAGCAGAGACAATATTTAACAGAATATACTAAAGACTTAAAAACAATTCCCAAGGTGTGGTTCTAAGAAGTATTTTGGCAATAGTAGTACTATAGTTTAGTAGATAAGTCTTCCAAGGTGACATTTTCTAAGGGGACAAACTTTTATGTTAAAAATGAGTCATTTTATTTTAGAAGGTATCTTGCAAGATTAGCTCTTACAGGTTAGTACGGAACAGTTTAGAAAAAGACTTCTAAGAACTCCGTGAACTTAAATTTCTCAAAAAGAAAGCCACCATTAGATTAAAGAGTATGTCACTCTTTCCTGTTAAATACCACAAATTTTCTTTTGAAAGTTCTGAATAAGCAGAATTGAGGCAAAAAAACAAGAAACAGCTGAAGTTCAGCCAGCAACAGGCCTCATTTTAGCGAAATTGATTTTGCAGTGAATTTTTCTTTTAACTATCTAATTTAAAACTATTCTACACTATTACTTACTTGCTTGGGAAAATATTAATGTAACAGACAAAATGGCTCCTAACAGTTCAACAGGATTTAATCGATTTTATGAACTCAGGAAATATATTTTTTAAATATATGAAACTTTATTTTAAAAAGGGTTATGGTTGAACGACGTTAGCATCTTAATATGAAAACACATGCTATGACACTTTTAAGTATATATACTTGCATAATTCATATAATAGAGAGAGGCAGTTCAAATTTTTGAAAACCATTAGAGACAGATATTTGCAATACTGCAATATAAAAGGCGGCAGCATGCCAGATTACAGTAAAAACATTTTAATTGCAAAATACTTCTAATCTGACCATGATGAAAAGGAAAACCTCACAGAAGACAACAGAACAATCAGGATGAACAGAAGACAATTCCTGAGCGTGGGAACAAGAATAATAGTGAGGAATGTACAGACTAGTAATTGCCAGATACGGAGAGGTTGTTGGAACAGGGTAAATGTTAAATTTGAGACAAGAGGATTGAGTATGTCATTCCCAGGGAACTCACTGATAAAAACTTTGGCTTCCCTCTCCTTTGCTGTTGCAAGTTGCTTTTTTCCAAAAATTTCCACTCTCTGTGAAACTTGTATATTACTCTTCACGATTCTTTCTAGCCAAGTAGACTATTTTAACAATTTGTCCAAAGCGGCAATCAGCGGGCAAAAGGAAAGGTTAGTGAGGCAGAACACAGAATGGGATATTGGATATAGATCATAAGCCAGATTAGTCAGCAGCGATGTGTCAGGAAGGATGTACAAGTCAAAATTAGAAGAGCTGAGCAGTGGTGTGGAGCAAGAGTGAGGGACCTGGAGGGTCCAGAGGAAAATCCTGCACATGGGTCTGAGATGGCAGAGCAAACGTGAGACCTAGGACGAAGGGAAATGAGCCAGCTGGTGAAGAGTCGGCCTGAGGAACTGTGGGTGTGATTAGGACCAGCCCGCCCTCCTGCCCTACTTTTTTCTCCTGTCCGAGAGGCAGCGACCAGTCAGTCACCTGGAGTGTGAGTTCCGGAGGGACTCGATCAGGCGCTGCTTCTGTTGCTGGAGGCTGGTGAGGCCACCGGGAGACCCAGCTGCGGAGGAGGAGGCGCTCTTGGTCAGGGGGAAGAGCCAGCTCATCCTCCACGGGTCCCCGGGCCCGAGGCCCTAGACTTCTCTGGCCTGCTTCTCCCAGCTGCTCAGCCCGGTGGTTTTCCAGCGACAAGAACACCAGGCAGTGGAGCCCGGGGCCCAAGTGCTGGGCGGCCGCGTCTTCTCTAAGCAAGCCCGGTTGGGGGTCCTCGGGTCCTGGGGGGCACGCTATGACTGCGGGTAACTGGAGAGAGGAAACTTGCCGCCCGGTACAGGCAGCCCTACCTTCGCGGCCCTGACGCCAAACGAGCCAGTCCACCAGTCTCACTGCCCAGCGCTTTACCACCCCAGCCTCCGTCTCCTGCGTGCCCCGCCCCCTCTGCGTGTCGCGTCATCATCTAGCGCCCCCACCAGGACGTACGAGAAGCGACGGCGCAGCGCGGTGCGGAGCGGCTCCGGCTCCCCTTTCCCCCTTGCAGGGCGAGAGGTGTCTATGGGGCATCCGCTGCTGCCGCCGCCGCCGCTACCGCCACCGCCACTGCCGCTGGGTGCTGTCTCTATGGCGAGGAGGAGAAGGAGGAGCGCGAGCTCAGTGACACAAGTAGATCTTGCGTCTGCCGCAGACCTGCGGGGGGAGGAGCGGGTTGGGAGAAGTCAAAAAGGGGGTGGGGACGATGAACCTGAGAGGGTGCGCGATGGCGCCAGCTGGAGCTTCGCTGGCGAAGGACAGAGTTGGGCGGCGGGCTGGGGCGGAGAGGGTAACTGGGGCTGGGGTATGTCAAGGGGGTAGCGCGAAATGATGACGTAAAGGCTTTGTACCTGGGGCTTCGATGTTGTGGGATGGGAAGAAATTGGGGGCGGAGGGCGATGGCCTTCAGGCTCCGCTAGCTCCACGTATTCCTTCACGCAGCAGTGCTTGGGAGTCAGTCTGGCCCCAGTGAATCGTTATCAGTGCCTTCGCGCTGGCTCTCGGCCAGAGAAGAGAGTTAGCTAGGACTTGAATGCTTCTGTCCTGTGCTCTCGTTTCTTTGGGAGCCTGCAGTACGGAGACTACCTGCAGTAATGAGGTTTCTGGTGCCTCATTGGAGCTTCTGGAACTGTGGTAGAGAGATGGAGTAAAGCAATTTTAAACTGCAGGGTCTCTTTCCAAAGTGTGTGTGTGTGTGTGTGTGTGTGTGTGTGTGTGTGTGTGTGNGAGAGAGTGAGAGAGTGTGTGATTAGCATAGTGGGCAGGCTTATGAAAGAATTTCAGAGCACTCGGTTACATTTGTTACTGCAGAGTTTTTAAGGGGGAGTAGTCTCATAATTTCCTCTTTTATCTTTGTTACGATTTTTTCAAACTTGTTTGAAAAACAAGAATTTTACTGCTTAAGAATCAAAATGTTGGTCTGTACTCTTTTATCATCATATACCATGAAACCAGTGTTTATGGGTTTCATAAATGTGAGATTTATGTTTGGTAACCAGGGAAAATGCTCTGATTTTAGGAAATTAGAAACAGTTTGAAATACAGACACACTATTTCCTCCTTTCTCCCTCTTGCAGTTATGAAGATTCAAACAGTCTCTTTGGCTATTGTTAATAGCTTTTTTTTTTCGTTCGTTTACTTTTGTCCCCTCCAATCTGGCTTGAATAAATGCCATAAAGGAGATGTTGAAATCAGTACAGATTTTGAATGTTTTGTTAATAAAAGCAGACATTATTTCTGTCCTAGTAACATCTGATCTTCTTACATGTATATCAGTATATTACCTTTCATTTTTGTCTGGAAATGGATGTCTACAAAGTTTTATTCAGAGAGAGTTAAATTCAGAGCAGTCTTTAATTATTGGAAAGTTTTAAGAAATGATTAGTTATGTACACATAAAAATACTGTTTTTACATTACATTGATGTTAGAACCAGGAAACCTGTGTTGTGGTCTTTCCCCCCCCCCCCCCCCCCTATTGATTAGCTGTGTGACTTTAGACAGGTCACTTCCCAAACTTTGATTTTCTTATGAATCAAGGACTTTGACTAAATAATCTCTTAGGTTTCTATCAACTCAGTTATTCTGTAATTTCATTTTCTGATATAGCTGGGTTTTATTTTGGTTTTATTGTGACAGGTACACAAATAAAGGATAAAGTATTTTATGAAACAAATCTTCAATCAAATATAATATTTTGATGCTTGGCAGCTAGACTCCTTGTGCCCTCACTATGCCAGCAGCAACTGTAGATCATAGCCAAAGAATTTGTGAAGTTTGGGCTTGCAACCTGGATGAAGAGATGAAGAAAATTCGTCAAGTTATCCGAAAATATAATTACGTTGCTATGGTATGCCTGTGATCAAATATCCTTAAACTACTTCTTATCAAAGGGGAAGAAGGATTTTAACAGTTCTGAATTCAACCCTTCTGGTTGATTTTATTTTTTCTTATGAATTAATTTAATTATGAAACGAAAATTGCCAATGTCCTCCAACCAAAGACTACCTGGAACACACCTGTAGCGTGACAAGTTGGGTTTATTACTCACTGGCATGAGGGAAAATGCATACCTTTGGAGGGACTGAGGGCATTTGAGTAAGACCGTGTTAAAAAGGACTTTTAGGATTGGGATTTGTGTCAGGTAGTTGTAGGGAGAGAGGAAGGAAGCAAGACTTTGCTCTGGATTGGATGCTGTCGGGAAGCTGGGGTGATTCTATGATAGGGTATCTTAAGTCTTAACTAGAATGAGAGAAGACGAGAGTGAAGCTAAAGCTATAAAGAAGCAACAGTCACTCATATTAACCAAGATAAAAAAGATGTTGGGTCATTTTCGTGGTGTGGACCATGTTTATGTTTTTGTCTATGTTCGTTATGGTAATAGAGTGGCCTTGTCTGGTGTTGAAGTGTGAAACTGTTTGTATTCGACAGAAGAACATTAGAACCTAGCTACAAGTGCCAGGTCAGCACCTAGCAACACTAAGGCCTAACTGATAATACTAGATGACCTCCCGTAAGCTAGGGAACTCCTGGATGTCTTTCTCAAACAAACAAACAAAATCAGCTTTCTCAGTGAAACATTGTTGATCTCCATTTTTTTGTTTGGTGTTTTAATTTATTTTAATTATCAGTGGAGTTTCACGAACACACTGCTTTTGCATATACAATTCAATCTGCCTGGACTGTCTACTCAGTTAATTATATTGCTTCTTTACTACTGTATCTCATGCATCTGTTATAGCTACTCTACAGTTTTCTGGATAATCAGCTTTGTGAAGCAAAGGATTAGTGTCTTAATCATCCTTTGTCCTCCCAACACCTAGAATAACACATTAGAATCCAATAAAGTGGTCGTTGACTTGGACTGAATTTAGAGAAGTTTTAATTTTTTTACTGTTTATAGTGACTTGGTATTTAGATTTTGTTCTTAGCTTCCTAAACTGAGGTATGATTTTCCCATTATTTTTAATATAAATAAATATGCTCTGTGGGGAGGGGAAGGTTGATTGGCTGAAATATTAATATTTAAGTGTACATAGATAATGTGCTATTTAATAAAGCTATACTTACTCATAGTTAGACTTGGATTATTTTTTTTATCCAAAGGAAGTTGATAGTGATCACTTATTTCTCAGGTACTAAGGAGTGAGACATGATAGCATTCTACAGGAATGAGTGGGTGGCATGCAATCTTTGACAGCATGCTTTCTCTGGAGTATAGAGAGAATACTGTTTTAGTCCAAGGAATTAGGAGGGTTTTGGTGTTTAGATAAACTTTGCCTGAGAAAAGTTAATTGGAAAGTATGATGCCTTTTCCATTCTTTTAAACTAGTTCTTCATTGCTTTTAACATTAGAATAGCATAATTTCACATAGTTCTTGGAGAAACATGAATTTATGTTTTTTCCTATTCCTTGGCCATAGAGTCCTTGGTTGATTTTATCATGTGTATCTTATACATAGTAATTTTTACTGACATAATAGTTAAAGTAAGAAAAGCTCATTAAATTTATAGAGTTTTATGATTCCAAAAAGTAATGCTTTTCCTAGTTAAAAGATACTTTGTAATGGAATAAAAGGTACTTTGTAATGTGTAGAATATCTCTAATACAGGATTCTCTGACTTGTACCAAAAATTAATTATTGTAGGATTTTGTGGTCTCTGGTTTTTAGTAAATAATGAATTTTAAAACTATTTTACAGGACACCGAGTTTCCAGGTGTGGTTGCAAGACCTATTGGAGAATTCAGGAGCAATGCTGACTATCAGTACCAACTATTGCGATGTAATGTAGACTTGTTAAAGATAATTCAGCTAGGACTGACATTTATGAATGAGCAAGGAGAATACCCTCCAGGAACTTCAACTTGGCAGTTTAATTTTAAGTTTAATTTGACGTAAGTGGGAAATAAATATAACCCAAACTTTTTTTTTTTTTAGTTTAATTTTAGAAATTGATTTCCCTTGAGTATGGTGAATGAAATTCTAAATGAATTTGGCATAGTTATCCTGGAAAAGCTTAAAACCTAAAATTTTAAAGGTTAGGTGTTTTGGGGTTTTTTATTTTTATTATTGGACAAAAAAATTTGAATAAAGAAGACTTTTAAATTCTCAAGTACCTTGAATTTTAGAGATGTTATTTGAAAGTATGCCCCTTTTTTGAAATTTGGAAAACTTGGGGTATTGAAAACACTGCTTGATAGAAGCAATAACCTTACAACGTTCGTTTTACTTTCAAACTTTATGTACAATTTGAAATATGTACACCTTTGTTGTAATAGTTACACTTCTTGTAAAGAGATTTTTGTTACAGTTATATCCCAGTTTATGAGTGGATTGCACATTAAAGGTAGTTAAGACATTTCTTGGAAACTAAGTGCATTTTCCTTTCAAATCGATTTTATATAATCACCATATTCACAGGTCAGCCTACAAAACCTCTTATAAAAATGACATGCAGAAGAAGTAATAGTACCCTTGAAACTGGTGTTTTGTTCAGAATCCAGCATACCCTTTTCCAGAATCTGGGTCGAAACCCAATTTCCTTACTTGTAGTCCTTCTCTGTCATTGTTAAGAGTAGCCTTGATAGCTTAGGAAGTTTAGAGTGTTTTGAGTGAGGGAAGATTTTTTACAAACTAAATTGTAACTTTGGGAAATGTTTAATACATTCCAAGTGTGTTACAATATTGCAGTGTCCTATTTGACACCTGTACTTATGTGATTTTTATGTAGCATCTGAGTTGAAAAATAGTAAAAGATGTGGGACATTAATGGTAATGCCAATATAACCACCTCCCTTTCTCTGTAGAATAATGTGATTTTAAGCATAGTATATAAGATCTAAAGAAAAGCAGGTCTTTTCTTGATAGGGTGGTGGTGTCAGCAGTACAGTAGTATGGTTTATAATTGCATTGTATTTACCCTGACTCTGTTTTACTCTGTTGGATTTAATAATGTACTCTAATTTACCTGGATGGGGTTCCAGCTTTCTCTTTCTAATGACACGGGTATTATTAAACATGGAATTGGTTCTAAATGATAAAAATATCTAGTCCAGTGAAATTTAGATGACAACACATTACTTATCTGAATTGAGCTTTGTGAACTATGCCCCCAAAATAATAATTTATACACATATTTTTGTTTGTAACTAACTTGACCGTAAAACACCCGAAGTATTCATCCCAATCTCCTGGGATGTGGGATTTGGTAGCTCTGGGTATGGGACCTAGGAATCCATATTTTTGGTAAGTTCTCTGGGTGATTGTTCTCTTTGGGCAAGTTTGGAAAATACTGATTTAAATAGTGCAGTAATTGCTGTTCCACTTCACATATTTTTTGACCTGGTGATATAGCATTAAACAAAAGAGACAAAAATCATTGCCCTGTTGAAGCTTACATTCTGCTTAAGAGAGAGACAATAAACTAAAAGTAAAGGGAGCATATGGGCCAGGGTAATGGAGCCTGGAGAAAGAATCTGTTATTTCTTTGGTTGGTTGTATTTGCTGAAGCATGCTGCCCAATGTGCTTACCAGGGCCTGATGGCTGAAAGTCTAGTTGTTTAAGGGACATATTTTTAGTCTAATAAGGCCAGTAATACCTGTTTAATGAAAAAACTTGTGTTGGGTTTATTCAGATATCCTTCCTAAAGGGTTTCCAGGGGAAATTTTGACTTACAGTGATTGTTGTGGTTTTCCCCTGTTTTCAAATATTTCAGTGGCAAGTTTTCTTATTTCTCAGAGACATTTAGAGACAAATTGATTTCCAGAAAATAGACCATGAGAATACATTTTGGCCCAAGTATGATGTTCCTTTTGGTTTAATTAGTTTTGCTAAAGCTTTTAATAGTATTGTCTTTTGCTGAGTGGTGGTAACCAGAATTCTTACAATTTAAAAAGTAAATAAAAAGAAAAATCTAATGGGCAATGAACAAAATACTTTTCATTTATTTTTAGAAATATATACCTTCCTTTTGATCACTTTTTAAATTTAATATTTTGGATACTTATGTGTACTTCGAAATTAGAGATGGATTTCTTTTTTGGCTTAAGTAGAATCTTGCAAGATTGCCTTATGGTTAGATTTCCTGGCTTGATTTTTGGAAGTTAATCTTCTAGGATTAAGATTGTCAGAAGAAATTATTGCTGTTATAGCAGACTCCTTTATTTTAAACAGTTTACTGCTTATCGGAGTCATTTGAAAGGCTTATCATTAGAGAGAGGAGGCATCTCCTTTTTCTTTAATATGAAATGTAGTTTAACTCAGCCACATCAAGTGTTTTCCACTTGGTTTCCTTTGTGGTGCTGCTGAGAGCATGGTAGATGACACAGGTCCTCACCCCTGTGGCTGCAGCTCCATCTGGCAGCATTGAAATGGCTGCTGAGACTGAGAGCCCTGAAAAGAACATGTCTTTTACTTTGTGGTGGTAGTGCCTGGTGAGAAATTTATTAACTTGTGAAAGGCTAATGAAACTGAGTTGAGAGTAAAGATTAAAATCTCACCATTAGACTGTTTTGCATGGTTATTTAATGTATGAACACTTTTCCAAAATAATGACCTTTGTATTTCAATTGTATTTTCTTTCCATATATGTGAAACATTGGAAGAAGTAGATCCAAGTGAACCCTCTTTCTTGTTTCTGGCACTGTTGTCGTTGTAGATGTAAGTCGAGAAAAACAGCTTGTTTGAAGTGCGGCACTTTTGAATGTTGTCTTTCTTCTTCTTCTGCCAGGGAGGACATGTATGCCCAGGACTCTATAGAGCTACTAACAACATCTGGTATCCAGTTTAAAAAACATGAGGAGGAAGGAATTGAGACCCAGTACTTTGCAGAACTTCTTATGACATCAGGAGTGGTCCTTTGTGAAGGGGTCAAGTGGTTATCATTTCATAGGTAAAAAGACTCGTATTGAAAACAGCTTATGTGTTACTATTTCCTAGCTGCTTCACACTTGGCTGGGGTCACTGTTTCAACCATTTCAGGCTCAGTTTTACAAAGAATTGGCTGCTTATAGCAGTCTCCTAACTCTTAAGAGACTAATGTTGGTCTAATATGGGATCTCTTTTAGCCCATGAGAGAGACCGTATTGTGTAGTGGCAAGGGTACAGGCTGGAAAAATAAACCTTGGTTTAAATCTAGCAGTGAGTGTCATTTGGAATCTGTGATAACCTAGGGTTATTTAACATTTCCGAGCCCAAAACTATCCCTTCATTAAAAATATACTATCTACCATATGCCAAACACTGATAAAATTCTAGAAATTAAGTTATGAACAAAAGAGGCTAAAATCCTTGCCCTCGTGGAGTTTACATTCTGGTAGGAGTAGGCCCACAATTTTTTAAATGATGATATTTATATTGTGGTTTGTTAAATGGTAATAAGTGCTCTGGAGGTAAAAAACAGCAAAGGGAATGCTTGGGGGTCGATGTGTGGTAGCGTTTAATTTTTTTCAAATAAAGTGATCAGGAAGGCATCACTTAAAAAATATCTTGCAGAATTGTTTTAATGATCAGTAGTAATATTTAAACCATTTAGTAAAGTGCTTTACACAGTAAATTCTCAATCAGTGGTAGTTTTTGGTCGTTATTATAAAATCAGATTGTTGAAGAGAATTTCTAGAAAGGAAATTAGTTTCATTCTGTAAAAATAGACTTCTGGGGAAGACAAAGAGTTTTCCTATCTAAGTAAATTAAATTAAACTGGCAGCCCAGGGAATAAAAGTCTCCTTGGGAATGATTTTATTTGGCCTTTTGCTATCTTTCAAAAGCATTGTATTATACAAGTGTTAATGTTCTTATACTTGGTCCACTTCACACATTTTTTAAAAAATAATTCTCTTACATGCTTTACAACTTGTAGCTCTGGACTGGAATAATTATAATAAAGGACTGTTCATATTGTAAACTTTGGCGCAGTGCTAAGTAGTAATTTTTGAGTTGGCGGTATTGAACATACTAATTCTTACCTGTTACCTTTTCTTTATTCTCCTCCGTTTGAGCCTGTACCTCACTCCTGAGTGTCTGTTCATTTGAGGAATGTTAATTCTGAGTTCTTTTTCTACTTTCCTAGTCATAAGGATACAAAACAATGTGAGATTTACTATATATGACATGGTCTTTCATTCAAAAAATATTGTGAGCAAATACTGGGCATTTTAAGATGAACAAAAACAGAAAGCGTTCATGTCATCTTAGCGTTTAGAGCCTAGATTAGACTGATATATTTGAATATTAGTCAAGATATGTTAAGATTTTATTCTATGAAGTGTTATTAAATATTTTCTTCATATTATAATTATTTCTAGTAAAGATTAATGTATTTATAAATCCTAAACTTGAATATAATCTTACTTTTACTAGTAGCAAGCAAATGCTGTCTTGACTTATATTTTGGGTAGATAGCAGAATTACTTCCTTGCCAACTACCAGAAATGTAAAGGTTTCTGCTGTTTATTGCTTATACCTGGTTTCTTAGTGGTCTTCAATGGTAAAGCTTTTTCTTTTCTTTTTTAGATTAGAAGTAAAATTCTGAATATTAAATCGAAATTTTGTTTTGTATCTCCTTAACAGATGTAAATAACATGTCTCATCAAATATTAGTTGAGTACAAACTATGTGTAATAAAAGATATTTTTAAAATGTGATTCCTGCCCTTTAAACTTGTGGAGAAAACAATACATACATTGTAAAGGATAGTACAAGAAAACAACTTGTGTACGAAATTTGGGAGCTGGGCTTTTCAGGGAAGGTATCTGTAAGAGGTCCTGAAGGAAAAGGTGGACAGGGAAAAGGGGAGGTAATTGTGGCGCAGGAGTGTACAGAGCTACAGAGCTGTGGGAAAAGCCAAACAGTAGGCATAGGAGCTCTGGTTTTGAGATCATAGGAGTTTGTGTTTTAGGCTCTAGATAGTGGTTCTCAGCCTTTACTGCCTTCACTTCTTTCATGTGCAACATTTCTGTTAGTATCTCTTGGGGATCCGAGATGAGACAGGAACAGAAGGAATTTGGGAGGAAGAGAGTGAATACTTAATAATAAAGTCACTTAAAGGGAAGTGAAAATAATTTGGTAGGGAACTAACTCTTTGGATTTTTGAAGTACAATATATGACCTCTTTGTTAAAGATGGGAAGATTTGCATTGATTTCACCTTCTGAGTGCCAGGTCACATACTGCCATTTGACATGTTTGGCAAACTTTCCATTCATCTTTATTTCTCCATTTCCATAGTTATTTAAATTGTTTGAGATGTCTACTGTGGGCAGTTTGATAGTCTTAAAGAGTTCTCTATTCATGGATCAGCAAAATAGTTTAGTGACTCCAGGCTTGGGATGGTGGTAGCTATCTACATATTGATACCTGAATGATGACTTGACAGTCTTACCACTGTAAGATGATTTTTCTGTTTTAGTTGTGAGTATGTTTATTTTCTATATTCGTTTTTTTTGTACTTTTGGTTGATACCTGTTTTGCCTACAGTGTGACTCATTTAAAATTTGTATCAGAAAAAAGTTTTCATCTCTTTGGTGTTCATGGTTGTTCTTTTGTATTCTTTTAATCCTTTTGTAGTGGTTATGACTTTGGCTACTTAATCAAAATCCTGACCAACTCTAACTTGCCTGAAGAAGAACTTGATTTCTTTGAGATCCTTCGATTGTTTTTTCCTGTCATTTATGATGTGAAGTACCTCATGAAGAGCTGCAAAAATCTCAAAGTAAGGCTTCGTGGCTTTATCTGTAATCACACTATTTAGACCCAGTGACTGATATATAGGCTCCTAGGCTGGGATGTTGATTTAAACCATATTTTTGAGTTTTATATTAAATGTACTTATTATTTGGCCATTTGATTCTTTTTTGCATAAATAATGCATTATAGGAAATCCTTTTGCAAAGCTTTAGTGTGTATTGGCAGAATAAGTTTTCAGTAAAATTCAAACCAAGGATCAGATTTTTGTCATTGCTAGCCAGATTGAAAATCATACTCCGGTACAGACACTGTGCAGGTTCTCACTCTAACACCGTCCACATGCTCTGTCCGTGCCAGACGGAGGATGCCATGTAGTCCAGGGTGGCTGGCCATGTGCAGATGTCATCAGTAGTGCGGCGAAAGTGCCTCCCTCCGCTTCTTGGCTAGAGATTATTTTGTTGGGTCTTGTCATCGGGTCATGTTGCAGGGATTAAATTACATATTTAAAAGGGTGGGTTTTTTTTTTCCTGGCCCAAAGATGTCAAATTGTTAGTAGTAAGTGCTATAGTAAATATGTAGGTAGTAGCTTACATTCTGACATTGCTTAATGTGTGGAATAATTTGTCACTTTTGAACATTAATTCTTTCAAAATGAAAGTTTCTTTAATAGTTTCCCAGACGCGTAAAGACTACAGTGGGGTTTTTATTTTTAGGTGTATTTGTATTTAAGCTGTAACTGACCAAAAAAATAAAAAAGTTAGGTAAAGTGGTTGCTTCATAGAACCTACATCAAGGTTGAGCAAGTTTTCTCCTTACCAGGTTTTTAGAAGTGCAAGTAAAGTTATATTTTCAGGAGATGGGAAATTTTACACAGAAATAATTTAGGAATTGAATAGGAAACTTTGCTTTTGACCAATGAACTGAAAATCATAGGAGAAGCAGTCTTTTGGCCAAAGTCCACTTGCTTCATTACAGGATATGGCCTATAACATGAAATTTTTAAGAAGGATTACTTCATTTTGTAGCACCTAAGAGCAGCAGAATTCTGTGTGGTTTGAGAGACTTCTAGCTGTGGCTCAACTGAACTTTCTGCAGTAGGATATCCTTGCTATTCTAGAAATTTTGTCCACACCCTGAAAGTATTACATGCTGAGAATCCAAGAACTGTAATGTGACTTTGGAAATGCTTTTAAAAGTTGACATGTGTGTACAATGACAGTTCGGAAGTAGAGAACCAAACTATTACTCATCATGTGAATGTTATTGGAAATTTTCTAAATATACCAGATATTCTGAATATACCCTGAGTGACCTGTGGTGTTAAAATTAGGTTCATGACAAAGGTGCTTTCTGACCTATAGTCCATCAGACTGACCCTATCCTGTTGCTCTCCTAAGCAGCTGCTAATGATACCTAATCTTTGTGCTATTTTTAGCACAGAAGCAACTGCTGCACAACGCACTATTTCATAGCTAGTTTGCTTGCAGAGGTCTTAACCATTTAGAGAAGAATTTCTTTGTTTTGTCCTTGTTCCTGATCTTTCTCTCCTCCCATTATTCTCCTCTCCCTTCCTCTTTCCTTCTCTCTTTTCTTTCTCTTCCTTTCTTTCACTTTCTCTAGCAATATTAACATAGACAGATTTTTAGCAGATCCTCCTAAAGAGTTGTATTCTTAAAACAACATAAACTTTTTAACTAAGAAACCCATGGTTAAGCCCTTAGTGATTTGATTAGCCATAATAGCTTTGTTTTCTACAAATTATTCAGATGAAACTATTTAGAGAGAGAGATTGCTGGGAAGCTTAAGAAAATTTGAAAGTAAGTACCTGCAGTCATTTTTATAATAAAATTATAAACTTCACGCACATTAAACAAATGCATTAGTAATTCACATGCTCTGTTTTTTTCCAGTCTTTATAAGGTCCATCTATATATTCTGAAGTTCATTTATATTTTGGTCATTGTCTATGTTATATAATTTGTGAATTTGGGCATTGCAGTGTTCCTCTTTTGACAGGCAATTTTTCTGTCTTCTAGGGTGGTTTACAGGAAGTTGCTGAACAGTTAGAGCTGGAACGGATAGGACCACAACATCAGGCAGGATCTGATTCATTGCTTACAGGAATGGCCTTTTTCAAAATGAGAGAAGTATGAAGACATCAGTGCCTTTTTCTCGGTTGTTAGGTTGAGAACATTAAAATCTTATGGCAAAATTTTGGGGCAATAAGTTGTTATTAAGTGAATATATAATTAGAGGTACCATAAAAGTCATAGCTAGCACACTTGAATGAAAGTATTAAAATATAAGCCATCTTGAAATGGAGTTCACAAGGAAATGAAAAAAAAGAAGTTCTCTGTAAACTAAAAAATTTAAAAATTTAAACTACCTTAAAAATCATGTAGGTCCAACCATATTATTTCTTAAGTGAAAAAACTGAGGCCAGCGGCTAGTAACGTTTATCCAAGGCAACATACATCGTTAGTGGGAGAAAACAGTTCTTTCTGTAGACTGTATCAGTGCTGCTTCCGCCAGGTCAAGGAATCCATCCCTGTGTTAAGTTTCCCCTGGCCTTGTCTTATCTTAGGCATTAAACTGCTAGTAAAAATGTCATTTGCTCATGCCATTCTTTAGTACTTGGAGGATTTATAGAGTAGGACTTGTGCTTTTTAGTAGATTGAGTCTTAAGAGGATTTTGAATTCTAAAGGGGTTAAATAAGTCTAAAGTAGTAGTTGAACCAAATCATATTGGGCAGACCCTCCTTCACTGGTAAAAGACAAAAATAAATTCTTCAAACATAAAGAAGTTAGGTAAGGAAGAACAAAAATCACTGACCCCCAGTCTTCTCTTAGGTTAAGTGACAACGCACAGGTATGCATCGCTGTAGGTGAGTGCAATGAAAAAAGTTGATTGTGCAAAAACTGGACTTTTTTGCTTACAAATAAGTGTTCCTTTTTTTGCAAAATATTGACTGGAAAATTCTTTTTCGTATATCCTCTTAGATAATAAAGAATTAACTGAGAACTGTTCTGGAAATTTAGTTTTGGTAGAGATGTATTAATAATAGCATAATAGGTATTTTACCAAATGATATTGATTCAGAAGTGATTTGGACTGTCCATTAAAATAAATACTGTGTTTTGTACTTCTTTCTAGTGCTACATTAGAGAATTAAATAACCTTTTGGATTTTCAGCTTTCCATTTTAAAAATGCCTTAATGGTTCAATTAATGGTGGATGCTCTGCTACTAATTTGTTATCCTTATTTTTCTTGGCTTCTTCAAGGATAGTAACCTAGTGTGAATGCTCAGATTTTACTGTCCAGAACATGCTTAGGGTTTGATTATTTCTAGCCAGTTCAGCCGTACACATAGATCCAAGGCTCCTTATAAACCTAAACGTCACCACTGCTGCCCCACCCCCCCTTCATTAGCTGTTTTCATTCATTTTTACCATTGTGTATTGTTAAATTAATGCAATAAAAATGTTTGCCATTTTTTTCCATGATTACAAATGCACATAAAATGGTCTAAATTTGTTAATAGAAAAGACACGTATTTATACATTTTTTGTAGTCTTTTTCCTTTGATTTCTCTTGAGCTCTGTATTTGAGAACCTCAGTTTTATTCATTGAATTTAAATGTGTGGCCTCAAAGGAGCACCACAGAAAAGAGCTGCCATTATAGTTAATGAATAGTCAGTACTTACGTTGCTGAAATATAAATTACCATTGGTAACTTTTGGTTAAAATTATGTTTTTTTTTTTTTTTTCCAAAATTCCTTTTTAGATGTTCTTTGAAGATCATATTGATGATGCCAAATATTGTGGTCATTTGTATGGCCTTGGTTCTGGTTCATCCTATGTACAGAATGGCACAGGGAATGCATATGAAGAGGAAGCCAACAAGCAGTCATGACATGAAATAGTTCTTTTTAATTTTTTTTTTTTTGAGCTACACACATGCTTGTATATAGGTTTTATCTCTTGTTGAATCCCTTGAATGGTAGACAGTACTTTATTTTTCTTTCATAGCTCTTTTTATTTTCTACCTTTCAGTACTAAGTATAACCATTCCTATCTCAGATCTTAAATAGAAAAGCATTCAGGTTAAATTTGGCCTTAACATACTTGTTGGCAGGCGTGTGTGACAGAGTGGGAAAACTACATCATATAAACTTGACTTACTTGAGCTTGGTTTATTTTTTTCCCATTCCTAAATGAACTAGCACTGTTTGTAATTTATTTCCCTGTTTCATGTCTCCCTTCCATTCTGCAGGAGTTTTAGCTATTTGAGATTGTGGACCATCAATTTTGCACTTTAGAGAGTGATTCTGACTCAAATCCTCTTATCAGACATTTTGGTTTTTCTTGCTCTTAGCTGGAAAAATGACCATCTGCCAACTTGATACAGTATTTACTTGTTATTGACCCATGGAATATAAGACATGCATTGTGCAAATGGTTGATTCAGCAAGACTACAAAAAAAAGACAACTACTGAGGAGCTTAGTCACTGCTGTTTCTGTACGTAGTGTTTAATCTTCTAAGCACATCTAGTGTCTGTCAGTTTCTAATTGGCATGTATAGGCTGCTCTGTGACTGAAGAATTTTTCAAACCAGCTTTACACCCTTCAGGAATAATCCCTTGTGATTGGATGTTATTGTCTGCCAGGAAACTGGTATCCAGGATGTTGAAGCTGCAGTTATTTTATGATAGCACACTTCCCTTAATCTTCTTTTTATTCTCTCTCTGTTACCCTTATTTTTAATTTTAAAAAACTTTTATAGCCATACTTACGATGCTCTTGATTTGTTGATTCCACAAATCAATTTCATTCAAGTCCAAAGATAACAAGTCTTTAGGTATATTTGTACCAAATTAAATTAGAAGACAAAAAATTGTGCTTTCATAGTTGTTACAGAGATAAATAATGGAGAGATTTGGTGCAGAACAACAAAATACAAAAGTATATATATGTATTAGCTATATGTATACAGCTAATACATATATGTAGCTCATAAAATTACCTGAGGAGTGTAATGCTTGTTTATTTTTTTGTGTGTATCTTTGCAATCTATTTTATATATATTGACAAAAAAGACTGTGAAATATTTAGCCATGCAGAATATGTGACCAGACCAGAGCACGTGTAGGAGGACATTCTGATAACGAATAACTCTACCCTGAAGTGATGGACTACAATTTATGATGTGTATTATCTACACTTCAATCAGTAATATTAGCAAATCTCCAAATGTTAGCCACATTGGTTTGTTTTCCTTGACATTCTTTATTCATGACATTACAATGCTGTAACTGGGTGGTCCTTTTTAAACAAAACATTATTTGCAAAACAGAGGGTATTATTTGTTTTTAAAGCTTTTTGTAAATAAAGGCTTCAGAAATGTTTTCTTATATATGTTGATGACTGGTAATTTTGTTTTGGAAATATTTATTTTGGGGGTATTGTTTTTGGGGGGCAGCTGAACAGAACTCAGTAACTTCATTAACCATAGCCAATTATTAGTCTCTTAATTGAGAAATCAATTTGAGCCTTCTGCATTTCAACAGTGTTGGCTTATTCTTTATCAATACCTCAACTGGACATTAAGAATCAATTTCTTTCTCCTTTCCAGGAATGCATTTATTCTGAAAGATTTACAAAGTAAATGCATTTGATACAACTGTGGCTTCTTTTTAAAGCTGACACAATATAGCAGATATCTAATTGGTTTCTTTTTATTTTGATCTTCACCTCAGAAAAAAAAGGAATCATAAAGACTGTTGAAAGCTGCTTAGTTGCTGAATTGCATAGTTTGTATCAATTATGGTTTCTGTCTGTAAGAAGTGATATTTTATAACTTCTATAAGAGGAACATTATGACCTTTATTAAATCTAGGTTTTGGATAAGAGATATTTGGCTGATAAATTTTGTGTTCCTGAGCCATTAATTCTGGACTCACCATATTCTGTTAAACCTATTAGAGCAAGGGTCAGCAAACTACAGCCTGCAGGCCAGAACCAGCCTGCTGTCTATTGTATGGCCAGTAAGATGAGGATGGTTTTTACAGTTTTAAAATGGTTGGGAAAAAATTAATATTTCCTGACATGTGAATATCATGAAATTCAAATTTTAGTGTTCATAAATAAAGTTTTGCTGGAATGCAGCCACGCTCATTATTTATGAACTGTCTGTGACTGTTTTTGCACTACAGTGGGGAAGCTAAGTAGCTGCTACAGAAACTGCCTATGACATTTTCATCATTTCACATTTCTGTTTGGTATGCTAAAAATCAGTGATGTTGATTATGACTTGACAGCATTTGGAGTGCTGTCTCTGTACCACAATATTTTATTATTCTTTCTGTTACCAATTCATATCCATGGTGTCAAAAAAAAAATGCTCTTTGAATGGTTTGCTTTTAAGGCACTTTGAAGTATGGATTATCATATCAAATTATATGTTAAAGATTGTTTATCATACAATGATACTATGACTATGCTAAAAATATACATTATATGTTGACATAACCAGCCTAAGGACTCATCACAATATTCCCAACTTATGGGAAAGCAACAGTCAGAATTAGAAATTTTAAAGTAGCTCATCACAGCATAATTACTTCACAAAAATAAAAAATGAAAATGTGGCCCATTTGTTAGACAAGCAAAGCCATTTACTGATGGTGAGTTATATCATGTTTTTTTAATGCAGTAGCACAAAGAAATGCATCCTGAGAAAAAAAATACACAAGACTTTTGATGAGAACAATTGCTCAAAGAGTGAGGAAATTGGGCACAAAATCAACACATAATTATAAAACAAGATAAATGATTTTGAGTATTTTTCTTTGGCTATTAAGTCAGTACTGCCTAGCTGTTACTTAAGAAATCAATGTTGAGTGAAGTGACTGAAGAATTTGTTTCTATTAATAGTCTGGAACAACTACAGGTGAGAACATTTTCAAAGGAGTTGAGGAGCTAGTAAGTCACTACAATCTAACGGGTCATCTACTAAGATACACAACTGAGGGTAAAAATATGCATGGATCAGAAAAAGGTTCAGTTGGTTAAATTTAAAACTTGTGAAAACGAAAGGTGCTTTGACAGGGGCCCATTTTCACTTGTGTTATACACCTTTCTTCAAAACAAGACTGAACATTGTTCATTGTTAGCTGGTGTCTTATATTACTGCAAAGATCATGTAGAAAGAGTAAACATACTAGCTTAAATTTTTATGAAAATGGTTTATAAATCCTTTGTATTTGATTTCCTTAGTAAAGGCAGTTTTGTCAAATGTATGCCATATTTCCAGTACTTGTCTTTTGATTACAGTGTACTTGAGTTATATAGTCTATTTCCAGTTGTCCTCAGAATCATTTAACTACTAATGAGTAATTACCTCTTCCTGCCATCTACCTCTTCTCAAAAGACCTATGTTATGACCAGGTTGTAGACAGGAATTTTGCCTGTAGCAGCTCTGATAGACTATTAGGAAAAGTGTATCTGTAAAGCAATTTAGATTGTCTGTGCAAAGGCAACTTCATATAGACAACTAATAAAGGTGGTCAACCAGATTTTATTATGGTATAACAGGAGGGAATTAATGGATAAGCACTTCCTTGAATGTCTCATTATTGTATTGAGTTACACTTCTTTGTATCTTTGAAAAAACAAATTCTCTTTCACTGAACAAAGGCAAATAGTAAACCAATGTATATAAAGCATCTGTATAATATTTTTAAATTAAAACATTCTTAAATATTGAGAACCGATATGGTAGAATCTCAAAACAGGAAAAATAAAAAGTACCAATTAATGGACTGTTGGGACAGTTGAAGTATAAGTGTGTCTTCAAGTTTGAGTTAAGCAATTAGATTTTTAAAGTAAAATGTTTAAAATGTTGTAAGGTACATTTTATAAATATATACAAAATGTAGGTCTATTTGATGTATTCACGCAAGTAAAATACGGCATATGTAAAGAAATATACCATCATCTCTAAAAATTATAACCCCCTATAATTAAAAACAAAAGTAAACAAAATACCCTTTAAAAATTATTCACTGTATGAAACAAGGGAACCATTACAACTTAAAGAAAAAATTTTATTTTTAAAAATGTTTTCAAATCTGATTCTAATGTGTACTGATTTATGCATTTCAATAATTACATGAAAGATCTAAAGGGGAGAAAGGTTAACAGTACTTTAGCAAGGTAAAGAATAAAAATCTGTCTTTTTCCCCCCTAGCTTCTAGTTGACAAGAGGGAACACTTAACAATCCTGTTTCATAAAAACAGCTATAGTACTGTGCTTTGAAAAATATCTGGCTACATATTATTCTTACTACATCACATGATTCTGTTGCCCTTAAGACTTCTAGCAGTAGCTACAGGTTCCACCTTGGCACTTTAGGTAATGAAAAATGACCAAAAAAATGCTTTAAAAGTAATAATGTATCATATCTTCTGAAATTTCTTGAAGCAGATTGTCAGATCAAAATCGAGTTTTAAATGAAAAACCTGAAAAGACTGCCATCCGATGGTTAAAATAATTGCACTCAAATGATCTATAAAATGGACTAAGCTGACATTGGTTCTATTAACTCATTTAATATAAAACTATATTTTTAGCAAGTATGAGTAATTGCAAGGATCTATTACTCCATCATCTGGGCTTCTAGTCTATTTTGTGTTGAATTTTTGTCTAACTCAGAATTTGAAAAGTGTAATACCATTTTCTCTGATTAAATACCAGTTCCTTAGCTGTGTAGTCTTAAAAGATAATCTGCTTTAGATTCTGAAAATCAGTACCAAAAAAATGTACACAGCTTATTCTAATCACTAACATTTACAAAACTTACACTCCATCAAATTAAAAAAGTAAAATAAAACATTTTTTCAAATAGTGCATACAAGGCACAAGAGCTTCTTAGTATATTTACTGAAGCATAACATTTTGGCATCAACAAATACGCCACTTAGTTTATCTGAAACTCAACTTCCAAACAGCATGCCATGTAGTTAAAACGCCGAACTGAATTTCCAGAAGTACATGACTTTTTGTTTGATGTGCATAATTTAATCTTAGGTGTTTGAAGAACTATATAGTTTAACATACTTTAGATGAGAGGATACAGAAATAACAGAAATGGATTAATCTATTGACCCATCGGGAATTCTGAACAGAAATTCTGTATTTTTGCTATGTTCAAAGAAAAAACTTTAAAAAGCCAAACTGGCAAAAGAACATCATAAACCAATCTTAATTATTGTTATAGATTTCCCCCAATTTAAAAAGATTAAGAGATGAAAAATATATTTCAGATGTAATAGAAATTACTCATTCTGACAAATTTTTTAGCTAATTGCTTACCAGTGAGCTCAAGCTTCAACGATCATACTTCTTCCAGCAGGGAACAAAGCTAGAATTAGATAAAAGTCTAGCAAAAAATGGATGGTGATCTTCAACTGTAGTTCATTTGGAATTTATAGTTGATTCACAGTTTTTAAGTTCACTCAGTCTGAGGCTGGATTGATATCAGAGGAAATAGACGACTGACTTGCTACCTCCATCTCAGATAACTAATAGGTTTTACAAATAAAACTTATCATTATACTGCGACTTGAAACATTTTAAAGCTCCATATTTTAGTCTTAATATTTTGATTAGAAAATCAGATAAGTAATGGGCATTTTATGTGATACAGTTGTGCTACCCAAATACTTGGGTGAAAACTGGCCCATGAATTTATATGAAGTTTTTATGATAGAAGGTATTTTCACCCTTGACTCATAAACCATCATTACTTTTAATATTTCACAGGAATTTGTGTTAGTTGAAACAGTCTGCATATTGAATAAAAATGTGATGTTTTAAGCAATGGCTTGGAGAGAACTAATCAGCTCATTCTGCGTGTCCAGCCAAAGGGAAATGGAACCACTGGCCAATGGCGCCTTCCTGTGAGAAGCTTTTTCCATCCATCTACAGCATTGAAACCTTGAAATGAAACAAAACATGAAACGATTCTGTTAACTATAAAATAAAAAACAAAAACTTAACCAACTCTTTCATTCTACAAACAACTCATTCATTGTTTTGTTGCAATAACATCCCTGTTGAAAATTAAATATCTTCTATACTAGTAATCTCAGTAGATGAGTTCTTGAATATAGACCTCGACATCAGTACTTCTCAAACTTTGATGTGTATATACAAGACCATGTGATCCTGTTAAAACTCAGCAGATTCAAATTCTAATTCAGTCGGTCTAGGGCAGCGGTTCTCAACCAAGGGGTCGCGACCCCTTTGGGGGTCGGACGACCCTTTCACAGGGGTCACCTAAGACCATCGGAAAACAAAAAGATATTTACATTACGATTCATAACAGTAGCAAAATTACAGTTACAGAGTAGCAACGAAAATAATTTTATGGTTGGGGGTCACCACAACATGAGGAACTGTATTAAGAGGTCGCGGCATTAGGAAGGTTGAGAACCGCTGGTCTAGGGTAAGGTCCAAAGTCCTGCATTTCTGTTACGCTCTCAGGTGATGTGAATGCTACTGGTTTGGGGCCCCAAACTGAGTGGCAGGGTTCTAGGTTATTCTGTATTTGTCTGAGGCCACTAGGCATTAACAAGTGATAATTGAGTTCAAAGGGGGACTTAAGAAATAATTTTGAAATTTCATGTGCATAGAAGCACAGCATTTTTTTGTTTATATTGTATAAGAGAAGGCTGGATAGGCTAAATTGAATCTACACTTTAGCACTAATATGGGTCTAGGTACATTATAACTATTAGGGGAATATTCTGACTAAAATATTTTATTAAAAGGCTACAGATCATTTCCTAATGTAGTTCAGGAAGAATATGAAGATAACATTTAGTAATATTAAATTAAGCATATCAATATCAGATTAATATTGTTCAACATGAATGAATCGCAAGTCTGAGATGTAAAGCAGAAAAACTATTTTAAAAACTATTTGGAATATTAGCTACCTTAGGAAAATTCAACTTTTTAAAGGAACATTTTACTGTCAGTGGTTATGTCAATAGAATGAAAAACATTACATCAGAAAATCATTTTTTCTTATGTCAATGCAGCTGATGCATGCTGCCATTTGGTTATTATGACCACTAATGTCTTATATTCAAATGTAATCAAGTTTCAGTGAGATTTTTAATTTTAATGATGTTATTTTATCACTTATTTAGAAAATATTGATACCCTATTATGTGTCTGGTACTGTGCAGTGTTGAGAATAACGATGAACAAATGCAACACTGGTCTTGTGTCAAAATATTGGGATGTCTACATGACACGGTATTACTATGTAAACTTGTAAAATATTTAACACATGACCTCGAAAACAATGGTAATTATAACTAATAATTCAAAATACTCCAAAAAACTCCTGTGAAACTTTATATACTTTACAGAACTATGTTCTATAAAATATTTTATTAGTGGTAGTATAGTGATTCATATTTGTGTATTCATAGTTATATTTTAAGATTTCCAGAAATTTAATATTGTCTCCTTGATATTTAACCAAATTAAGATTACATTTTTCATTACCTTAATCATAGTTATGATTCATCTAATCTATACCATCATGTACAATCACCCAAACCTGAATTAGTCAACTGGCAGATTGCCAGGTCAGCACTTTGCTGTTATTAAAGAGCTACTCACCAAAATAAAAATAAAACATTAAAAAAAAAAGATCAGAAAAAGATTTTGAGGATTAAAATGGGTTTAAAACAAACAAACAAAAATCTTAGCCATCCATGAAGTACTCTGACACAGATGAGTGTTTTGGATACTACCCTTTTGCTTCTCTCAGACTTTAGGATTCTAGGCTGCAGTTCTGTAAATACAGGGTTGTATTGATAACAATGTTTAACTCTTTATATTTTGTTTATTATAATGGTACATATAGTTGTTTATTTTGTTTAGATGTTTATGGCTTTGTTCCAAAGGGGCTCTTTACTATAGCTTTTTATTGACTGTAGACTTATAAATAGATCATGTATTAAAAGATACTGATTTGGAACTACAGGTTTAAGAATATTATGGTTTAAAGAAAATTATTTGGAACACCTATTATTTTAAGGATGGCACATACTATGGGGTCCCACTATGACCAAAAATAGGGATGACTGGTTTACGCTAATAAGATATAATTCTCTTGTACTGAGACCCAGTGAAATTCTGCTAATGGATGGCCAAGGACATGACCACTGTATATCCAGAAAGATAGAAAAAAGTAAAAATAAAAAATTGCACAATCCTATGAAATGACAAGATAATTGTCACATAAAATTCAATACTTGATTATTAAGTTTTCCCATTTAATGCATTACTATAAAAACAAATTTTGTTCATTACTTATTTCTAAATATTATCAAGTTAACCTAAACACGAGCTAATACTGAAGCCAGGTCCACGTCCAGAGGTTTCCAGCATATAATCCCAAGTGTCAGTTAAGACACCTTTTAATATGAATCACTCAAAAATAAACATTTATGGAAAATATTAACCCTAAAGAACTGGAAAAGTGTTAAAAATATAAAACAGAATAAGGAAAACCTTACCTTACTTTCATAAAGTACAGATTAATTCTGTTTGAAGAGTTAAGTCTCATTCTCCATGGTTAATGCAGGATTGCTCATACCTTTAAGAAAGAACATAAATTAGCTGTTTTTGGTTGCTTTTGAACAAATAGGCAGAGATCTGTTTATTCATCCACGAATCCCCCCAGTATACTTCCAAAGGTGTTTTGTACCTAGTATGGGTGTTTGTATGATGGTCATATAGAAACACACACACACACACACACACACACACACACACACAACTTGCACTTCTCATATTACTTTAAATCATCATTTCCTAATTCTTCATCGACCTACCTCATTCTAGTCAAACTAAATCTTTGAGCCCTTTTTCATCTTATCCTCATGTTTCTCCTCCTTTTACATCATCCTTTAAACTTTAGTTTCTTATTCATCTAGCAAAGTAACAGAAAAATTAACGTGCCAAATAACAGCACATAAAACCAATAAATCCCTTCCATGTTAATGGAGAATTATGAGACATGAATCCCTTCTGAAAGAAAAAGCTCTTTGTCTCTCCACCCCCAAAAACTGAACCCCCACTATACATCACTTCTTTGCCTCTAAGGAAACTGATGCATTCAAAGGGCAAATAAGTGTCATCAATTTTTGTTTAGGTAATTCCTAGTCCTTCCCATAGACTGCAAAATGGAATTGCAGGTTTGAAGGTGAAGAGAGACCAAATTATGAATATTCAAATGATGATCTGAGAGACTACATATATTCTTTAAGAACAAAACTTCTTAAAGAAAGCCTATATTTTAGAAGAGTATGACTGATTATATGTTAAATATTGACCTTAGAATTTTTACTTAGGACTATCAATTTGTTTTTCACCACTACTAAATCCCAAAGAGATTTCAAATAAACCAGTAAATACTTTAAAGTACTGTGAGCCAAAGTTATGCAGCGCTAGGAGAGAGTTTGAAGAAAAGACTAGAAATGAAGGAGAAAGATTTGAAGAACTCAATTAGTCAACCTTGTAACTTTCTGGCTAACAGTGTCTTAATCGTGGATGTATGGTTTGGTACTCATTTATAGGGACACCACACATATGTACTCACACCTACATAGATTATCACATTGTTTTGTTTAGTCCTTCCTGACCCTGAGAAATAAGTATTTTATTTTATTATTATTATTATTATTTTAGCTGAGCCATCCTGCCACCTGTTGGCAGCTCAGCTCAGGCCGGGAATTGAACCGGCGACCCTGACGCTCAGAGCTCGCACTCTTGAGCAAGTTCTTAACCAACTGAGCCACTCGGCCAGCCCCGAAATAAGTATTTTAAAGATAAAGAAGCAAAGTCTAAAAGAGGTTAAGTAACTTAAATATCACACACTGATTAGGTGCCTAAATTGGGATTTGAAATTATGTCTGACTTCAAAGCTTTGCTTGTTCTGTGCCAATAACGAGGTAATCAAAAGATTAAAACCGATAACAATAATGAAAATGTGAAAAATAACAGGTAGCTAAAGTCAGGTAATTATGCAGTCACTTTACTTAGACATTTTGAAATTGGATAGAAATCTTAGAGTAAAAGAACTGCATAATTTAAGATCCTTTTTAGCACATATTTTTCAACCTTTTGTCTGAATTGATGACATTTTTCCATTATAAAAAACTCTTTAGAGTTTATTTCTATCATTTAATATGCAGTAATAAAGATTTGGTTCTTTAAACTGGACAAAAATACAATGTAGATCTATCTTTCATAAAATGATTTTCTGCAGCTAACAGTCAGTCATTAATCAAAGTCCTTCACAAATAGAGGTTCCTGAAAATAATTTTAAATTTACACTCGGGGTCTGACTCCAAAGCAAGAGAAATACTATAGGTAATATAATAAATTTTTTTCAGTACTTTCATCTTTCATATCAAAAAAGCCAAACAAGCACACCCTTACCAGCTTTGCCTTTGCCCAGGTTTGTGCTGCTCTCTGTCCAAGATTGAGAATCAGTAAGAAGGTGGCTCTGGGACTCTCTCAATGGCTTTGCAGGAAATGGATGGTTTTCAGGACTGAATGATAACAATCATTATCACAATTACCACATTATCTCTTGACAGTATTAAGGTGAGTGTTTCTCAAAGTATGGAACATGAACCACTTGCAGTGCAAGATAATTGTAGGAGTAACCCAAGAGAATTTGGGGAATACAGGAACAATGAACTCATACGGACTCATAATAAGAAAAGTGTTCTCTTCTCAGTTCCTTTCATTCCCCTGATTAGAATAAGATGACAATTTTTAATTCTGGCAAATTTCAATTTTTAATATATAGAATAGGCCTCAGCCTCAGACTTTAGCAAGTAAAGGAATCTGGTTAGAACCTAATCGTATTAATAATCATAAAAGTATCAATTTTATTTTTTAAAGTTATATTCTATTTATGACAAATTATACTAGTTTCCCATTTATGACAGTGATATAAAGGTTGGCTTAAAAATAAATGTCAGTGCCAATTTGAATAAATATATTAAAAAACATTAATTTTTATAAGTGGATATGGAAAAAATATATGAAAGTGATGGTAGAAAGACAACTTTGAGGAAAAACTAGTGTTTCTAAAGTGGCCTAACTGGTCTTGAACAAAGAATTCTTTATCTTCTTTGATAAAACTGAAACAACAAATTTGAGCATTATCTTGCAGGAATGTTGAAAGCATCTGATATTATCAGATCTTACAAACCTGATGTTTAATTTGAGGAAATGAAGAGTCTTAAAAGAGGAATTTAAGTTTTAAAATTTAAGTAGACATGCCATATATCAACATATTGTATGGTATGAAAAAATACACATAAATTAAAATAACATTTCACTTACATAGAACAAATTATTGGCATAGAAACTATTATTTTAAAACACCCTGAAACAGCAATTATAATGTTCAAAAGAAAAAAACACTACTTAAAATTCTTCCAAAATAATTTAGCATATTTTAGTTGTCTATAACTATTATATTTTTAAAGGATATACTTTTGCTCCTTAGTAATTAGCTCATATCTAAAATCTGAGAAGATTTCAATTTTGTGCAGCTTTAACATGCCCTTATTAAAATTTTGAAAGTAAATTTTTTTTTTAAGCTTGTCTCCCACTCATACGAAAAAATCTCTTTTAATTCTTATTCCTCAGCAAAGAGGCCATATTCCAGGTACTAACTAGGTCCTGGCTTAGAGACTCCTTATAGATGGATTACTGCTGGTAGGGCTTTAAGAACTGGCAAGGATCCATTTATCCAATAATATTCATTGAGTACCTATTACATCAATGAATAAAGTCTTTGATCTCATGGAAATTTCATTGTAATGGAGGAACAATAATCATAAAGAAAGAAATATATAGTAAGTCAGGTGACAATACAAGCTATGACAAAAAATAATGTATAGGGAAGTGCAGAAGCAGGTTACTATTTTACAAAGGATTTTCAAAGATGGCTTCTATTGTGAAGTTACACCTAAATACAAAGCGAATGAAGAGAAGGCACCACTCAGAGTTCTGGAGGAAGAACATTTAGGAATAGGAATTAGCAAGTACAAAGGCACTAAATAAGGGACATGTGTGTGTCCGAGGATTATGAGTGATGGGAAAGTGATACAGGCTGACATCAGAGAGGTGTTGCGGGCAAGATGAGACGGGACAAAACAAGGACACTCATTAGTCTTTATTCTAAGGTGGGAAATCAATGGAGGGTTTTGAGCAGAAGTGACAGAATCTGATTTATGTTTTAAAAGGATCACTCTGACCTTTTAATGGAGAAGAGACTGGAGTAGGGCAAAAATGGAAGGAAGGAATTGAAACAATTTATGTGAGACATGATATAGATATATTCTGAGGGTGCATCTGACAGGATTTGCAAATGGAGTCAATACAAGGTAACCGAAAGAGCGGTATCTAGGATGACTCCAAAGTTTCTGTTCTGAGCACCTGGGGGAATGGAGGTCACACAGGAATAATGATCTACACATGGAAGAATGGAGAAAATCAGGTGTAGAGTGGGTGTGAGAGGGAAGATGGCTGGAACCAAGAGCTCTGCTTTGCGCATGTTCAGTTGCTGGTGACTTTTAGACATTTAAATGGGAATGTTGAGCAGACAGTCAGATATAAAACTCTGGAGCCCAGAGGAGACACCAGCATAAACCATAGAAATTTTATCTGGCTTAATCAGGGGAAATTATAAAATTCTGTAGAAGAGACTTTAGCTGTCAAAATCCAATCTCAATAGCTAAAGGAAAGGAGGAGAAACCTGGTTACTTGACCTTTTCAAGTAACCTAGCTCAGTAACAGTGTCAGGACTAGGATTATCTCAACACCCATGGTATACTTAGGAGAGATACTAGCTCTAAATCCCAAATAGTCTTAAACTACAAAAAACACTTAAACAAAGGTAAAAAACAAAAATTATTGAAAACTGTTAAATTTTATATAAGTTTGAAAACATGTTCTAAATAACTTATTAAAATTAGATGTTTCTGCACCAAGGTATAAGAAAAACCATTAACATTTAGCTGTGTGGAATTTTCAAGCCAAAGCTCACAGGGCATGACCTCATAAGACTCTGGTGTCTTTGAATATCCCTGGGAAACACATCAAAATGCCCTCCTCGTCAATTCTGTATGTTGCTCACTCTAAGGATGGGGAGGCAAATAAGTTTCATCTTACCACAATTTAAAATAATTTGGAATGGCTGCCAGGCACCCATTAGTGTTTCAAACTTGAACATTCATATATGTATAGCATTTTAAAAGTTTAAGTAGTTTTGCCTTTTGCCAGGTAGTAGCAAATTTCAGATCTTCCTCAAATTCTTGATAAGACAGGAAAGAAAACAGACTTAAAGCAAGGGGCAAAAGTCTCCAGGCCATAAATTTCTAAGACCCCTCCCTTCTCTCTCCAAGGAAATGGTTCAGATAATGCTTAGAGGTCTCTAAAGAGCACCAAGAATATGCGTATGGTGCATACTGCTAATGGAACTGTCAAGCGGGTGTCTGGGGTTCCATTTGACCCCCAAAGGCCTTATCTAGGGAAGTTTTCTCATCTCTTTAGAACAGTTACCAAAGAGAGGAAGGACCTAGAGGATCAAAGGAAAGTTTACACTGTTTGCTCAACTGATCACTAGGAGAGCTAGTTTGGACTTATATATATTTTTCTTTTAAGCACTACATTAAAAAAATCATACTATATTTCAGTCAACCAAAATGTATAGAGAATTAACACCTGTTTACCTATCACCCAGATTAATAATGGAATTTTACAAGTATAATCAAAGCTTCTTATGGACCCCTCCCCAGTCATAATTTTCTTCCTCCCTCATTCTAAGTGGGAAGCATTGCAGTAAATGATCTTATGTTCTTGAAATTTTTTTTTTCAAAGAAACATTTAACTAAAGGATACATGAGAATCAAAGATGTTATTCGAAAGTAAAATAGAAAAAAAAAAGTGGGATTACTTTTTAGATGTTGAATTCGGTCCTGCAGGAGTAGATGGTTGTTCAGGGTCCTGGTTAACAAGGCAAGTTGGAAAAGAGCAGCCGTCACCTAGACTGTAATTCAAATCAAAACTTACAATTGAGCAATAAAAAAAGACAACACAGTGACACAATTTCAGAGTGCTGATGTCTGCGAGTGGGACATCATTATATTATGGACAAAACATGTGACTCACACACTGGTTTCAATACAGTTTGTTTAGGGAGATGAGTTAACTGATTTCCACATTGATGTACTCATGAGTCATAAAATAATACTTTAAAAAAAATAGGAGTTCCTACACAGAATTAGAGAGTTCTTTTGTTTGATTACTTTCATTCCCTTAAAACTTCACAACAAAGTACCTTGAAAAAACGGGTAGCAGCCAGTACTTCTTCTCATCACCAAACACTTGTCGCATATTTTTACTGAAACCCAAGCTGAATCCATTCTTATCTGTTCCATGTCGAAATACTGGACTTCTAAATGCCTCTATAAAAAATAAAGCAATCACGAGTAAAGACTGTATCAGCTAGTAACCCCTATATTTAGAAGTGATTGGATTAAACAAGGGAACTGGAAACTCAATGGCTAGTCCCCTGTGAGTGCTTATGTGCCTACCAACAGTTCTGCAATACAGGTCGTTTATTCTGTTTTAAAATAATCATAAGATATAATTACATTTAATTTTTAAGTAGCCTTTTAATTATTATAGCAGCACATGTACACTGCAAAAATTAGAAAATATAAACAGGCAAATAAGTGAAAATTTTACATCTTCTAGCTTTTATATAGATAGATGGGTGGATGGATTGATGGATGGATGGATACAGATATATACAAATCTACATAGTTTTTTAACCAAAATGAGACTATACATACATTCTGCAACCTGCTTTTTACAGCCAATAAGTTCCATTTTCCAATTTCGTTAAAATTTTATCTCATTCAGTCACACTTTTTTCTAGCTAACCAATAAATGGACTTTACAGCTGATCCGTCCAAACCCGGATGCAGTGCAGAACCGTACATTGTATGTTAATGCCCACTCTGCATGAGGAAGCCGAGGTTCAGAGAGGCTGTGGGACTTGCCCAACATCACACAACAAATAAATGCCAGAATGAAAGTTTCTTCTTACTGCTACATTTTCTTCTTACATCATGCTGAGATGCAAAAATCTAAAATTTTATTTTTAGAATATGAATAAACATAGAAGTATAATGTTTTGTCCATTATTTAAAACAAACAAACAAAACTCTAACTAGCCAATTAAAAGTACTATGAAAAATGTGGCAATTTGCAAGATCCTCAGCATTTGTCACCCTAGGTCATATAACTTTATATAAAACATTTTTATAATTAGAGGACCATATTGTCCTGAGGAAGTCCTTTCAGTATTACAAGTACAATCTAGAAGTTTCAGAGCTTAAAAGTTTCTAGAAACAATTCATTTACTTTTGATGAATTTTAATTTAAGTGTCCAACATATAATTTGAAATAAGACACTTTATTTAGAAATGATTTTATTATACCAATTTTTTCCCTAATAGTATCTACTTCAATGAGTTCATCTGAGTATTAAAAATTAACATTCACTGACTATATGCTACAATTAATTTTCACTGACAATAATGGAATCTCATAGTTTGAAGCATCTTTTGAGAGCATTAAGGATTTATAAGTTCTGATAATATTCCCAAAGTCCTAACCTTAGTCTAGAAGACTCAGCAGAGTCCCCGCTTACTTGTCCAACTTCATAGTGTACTTTTTGTTCTTTAGCTTTCTATGCTCCAGCCATGTGGATAGTGTCTCAAACATTTCCATCTCTTTTCTTATAGGGCTTTTTAAAAATAGGAGGTGAGATTCGCAGAACACAAAATTAGCCACTTTAAAATGAACAATTCAATGGCATTTAGTACATTCACAATTTTGTGCAACTACCGCCTGTATCAAGTTCCAAAATATTTTCATCACCCCAAAAGAAACCCTTAGCTCATTAAGCAGTCACATGATGTAGCATGTTTCATTACTTCATTCCTTTTTATGGCTGAATAATATTCTATTGTATAGATAGATATATAGTAATACCTCGGTTTGCGAGCATAATTTGTTCCAGGAACAAGCTACTTGTATTGCAAGACATCACTCGTTTACCAAGTTATAATGTATTATTAGGTTGGTGCAAGCAAAAGTAACTGCGGCAAAACTGCAGTTACTTTTGCACCAACTTTATAGACATGTTTACTCCTCTTGCGGAACACTCGCAAACCAAGTTACTCGCAATCCAAGGTTTTACTGCACCACATTTATCCATTCATCCTTTGATGGGCATTTTCACCTTTTGGCTAATTAAGAATAGTGCTGCTATGAACATTGATGTACATCTGTTGAGTCACTGTTTTCAATTCTTTTGGGTACATACTTAAGAGTGGATTTGCTGGGTCATATGGGAATTCCATATTTAACTTTTTGAAGGACTGCCAAACTGTTTTCACAGTGGCTGCACCATTTTATATTCCCACCAGCAGTGTGTGAAGGCTCCAATTTCTCCACATCCTCAACATTTGTTTTCTGTTTTTTGTTTTTTTTTTATTATAGCCATCCTAGGGGTATGAAGTGGTACCTCACCTTGGTTTTATTTGTATTTCCTCAATGACTAATGATATTGAGCACATTTTTATGTGCTTGTTGGCCATTTGTATATTTTCTTTAGAGAAATGTTTATTTAAACGTCTATTCAAATCCTTTGCCAATTTTTAAATTGGACTGTTTGTCTTCTTGTTGTTGAGTTGTAAGAGTTACTTGTATATTTTGGATACTAGGCACTTATCAGGTATGTGAGTTACAAATATTACTCTGATTTTGTAGGCTTTTTACTTTTTTGATAATGTCTTTTGATACACAATTTTTAGAATTTTGATAGTGTCCAATTTATCTACTTTTTTCTTTTGTTGCTCATGCTTTTGGTGTTACATCTAAGAATTAATTGCCTTTTTTGTGATCCTGAAGCTTTATCCTTATATTTTCTTCTAAGACTGTTACAATTTTAGCTCTTCCATTTAGGTCATTGAACCATTTTGAGTTCATTTTTGTATATTGTGTGAGGCAGGGGTCCAATTTCATTCTTTTACATGTACATATCCAGTTGTCCCAACACCATTTGTTAAAGATACTATTCTTTCCCTACTGAATGGTCTTAGTACCCTTGTCAACAGTAAAATGGCCAAAGATGTTTAAGTTTAGTTTTGGACCCTCAATTGGTCCACATCTCTATCCTTATGCCAGTAACACACTGTTTTGATCACTATAGATTTGTAGTACATTTTGAAAAGAGTAAGAATTAAAAAAAATTTTTTAGTGAATATCATTTTTGCTCTTAGGGGACCTTGAAATTCCATGTGAATTTGAGGATCAGCTTATCTATTTCTGCAAAAACAAGCCCATTGAAATTATAACAGGAGTTGTATTGAATCTAAAAATCACATTGGGTAGTATTACTATCTTAACAATATTAAGTTTTCTAATCCATGAACATGGGAAATCTTACCATTTACTTACTTCTTCTTTAATATCTTTCAGCAATGTTTTGTAATTTCACTATACTAGTGTTGCACCACCTTGGTTAAATTTATTCTTAGGTACATTACTATTTTGATACTTCTGTAAAAGAAATTGTTTTTTTAATTTCCTTTTTGGGGGGTTCATTGCTAGTGTATAAAATTAGTCTATAAAATTAGTGTCTGATTTTTTGCATATTGATCTTGTGTCATGAAACTTTGCAGATGTTATTTATTAGCTATAATTGTTTTTATTGTGGATTCTTTAAGGTTTTCAATATATAAGATCATTTGCCTGAGGTGTTCTGGCTCTTTCCATGACTGACAGCTTAGGTTAAATATGTTTTATTTTGGTGAGCTATTCTCTCTCATCACTCTATCTAAATAGGTTCCCTTTTACCATCTCCAGCCCTTGATTCATACCTCAGCATCCTATTTGTTTCTTTTAAAGCACTTTGTGTTTTGTAATTACTGTTACGTTTGCTCATTGATATTCTGTGCCCCTCACTAGGCTGTTTTGCCCTTTAATCACCACTGAATATACAAAATGCTTTACATACAATGGACAGTCAATAATATATAGAATGAGTGAATTTGTTTACGTCTGAGTCACATCCCATAAAGCAATGTGGGAAATAAGAATAATTTTTACCACTTCAGGACAGATTATCATTTAATAATATGGCAAATTTGATGAGTAACTATATATGTATTCAAAGTTCTCTTAACTACAATAATTGGATACTCACCTAATGTAGATTTATTTTTGCTGACTAGCCAACAATGATAGCCAAACAGAGAAGACAAGCTGACAGAAAACATAGCTGCAGCAAAGAATAAAAACATAATATGGAACTTGGCTTGAGTATCAGGTAGACCATTCTATAAAGAAAGGAAGAAAATAACATGTTTTGTCAAAGGGATAAGTATTCCCCCACTTTTATAAGATTTATTTTTTTGCTTACAATTTTTCTTAAATTTAGATATGGAGAAAGATACATATCTTTATGTAAAAACTTTGAGAAAAAACATATAGTATCAGATTAAAACATATGTTTACTGGAGTATGAATATATATGGGAAAGATATTTAAACATTTAAAGATATATAATTTTAAAATATTTATTTTGTTTTGCATAACCAAATCATAGAAAAATGATGCCAGTGTGGTAGTATGTGGGTAAACTGTAACAATAGACAGCAAGATGAAAGGAACTATAAAACATACTTCTGAATTTACTACCTGAACATGTTTTAACATACTACAGATTTATGTTTAAATAGTTTTATTAAAATGCCAGAAAGTAAAGGTTAATTGGCACAATTTAGCTACTATACTCATTGATGTTTTACGTTACTACAAACAACAGCACAAGTAAAAGAACACATAAAACAACACATCCATGATAATGATGCAAGCTATTTTAAATAATAGCATCCCCAAAAAGGTCAACACTAGAGCATAACATCTGTCTAAAATAAACCTTACAATATCCATGAGCTAAAACAGGCCAACTCAAAGCGAAACCGGTTTGACTCTCATCATATGTATTTTCCAAAGAGTCCTGGACTCACTCTAGAACGGCAGGCTTAGGTCTATGGACACTTACTGAATCGCCAGAGCGGCTAAAAGGTGGTCCCTTCTGATAGAAGGTCATACTGTTTCAATACCCTGTAGTATCTGTCAGAATGACACAGGCCACAAGATTTCACTGATAGCTTTTGACAGAATCGCACAGTGAAAACTCTGGTCATTCCTTTACAAATATATCTGTGGTTGGCACTAACGCCATCTACAGGAAATGAGGAGCAGTGTGGTGCCATTCTCTCAGACATTCATTAGGGACCATTCTTCAAGATGGACAATGGAAGGACACTTGAATGCTAGGAGCATGTCCATGAACCTGTGTATTCCTAGTGCTTACAATGTACCTGGCACAGAGCAGGCATTCAATAAACCTTTAGTATTGAATGTGGTTCAAATCTCACATAAAAATGATCTAGCAATCAGAAAGTCTTACCATAATAACGAATAACTGTATGAAAATAAAAAAAAGCAATCCTGGCAGATAGTAACTGTTTTTTACTATTGTTTGGTGTTCATAGGAGTATCTTTGGTCATTTAAAATACTCAATTTTAATTTCATTTTGCTCATATTTAAAATAAATAGTGCAGAAAACAAATGAGTTACCTAAAGCCTAATGAAGCCATACTTAATAAAAATTTGGGACATTATAGACATAATACTTTAAAAAACAGTCTTTTTACACATAAAGAAAACACTTCTATTTTTTTTGTTTAGTTTTTTTATTTAAAACACTTCTATTTTTAAATACTAAAACCAAATCATATACAGTCAATTCTAGTTAATGGCAGCAGTCGTGTTCAACAAAGTTGCCATGAACACTGAATTTGTGAATACTGAACCATTTCTCCTAGGGGAAAATACAGGGTTAGGTTCCTGCGAGCTTTGGGTCACAACATTTTTGTCAACTGATCAATATATAACCTTGTTTTCTGTGTGTTTCCACTTACAGACACCTTATTTAATATATATTGTGGATTCGTTCACAGAGACCTCATGCCCAACATCCCTATAATTCATGCCTGCAGGAAGCTTATCCAACACATGTATTCTCCCTAAAGCATATCCCAGTCTTCTTTTGCTCAGAAACACCAGATGGTATTTCAGTACTATGCTTGAAGACCTTTTGACACAGTGAAATCACCAACAAAAAGCACAACAATGCAAAAAAACATGGCATTAAATAGACTGAAAAGCACACTTGTTTAACAGTACGAAGAGTTGAGACAAAAGGCAAAGCATAACCTTGTTTGATCTCAATTGGGAGTGTGCACATGGGGCAACCCACACTTTCAGCCACTCTGTGCATGTCTGCAAATGCCCACAAAAGTGCTGAGAGTACTGATTTGGGGGGTGACAGATAAATTTTAGCAAGTTGGTGAATTCAAAGATACAGAATCTGCAAAAAATGAGGACTGACTATATCTAAATGAACTCTATTCTGTAAAATCAGTGTCTGAAATGGTTCACAAAAGAAAAACCTATATTATATATTTTGTATACTAAAAAAAGTTCAACAAGGTAATGACTTACTGTCCAAAATTTGATAAAATACTGTAAATCTGTAGCAGCAATAAAAAGGCAGTACAGCAGAGAATAAGCCAAGAAAAGGAGGAAAAATTTATAATTTGAAAATCCGACACAATTGTTCACCCTGTTAACAAAACAAAAACAACATTTCAGTAAGTTTCACGTTGTCAATTTAGGCATACATGAGCTCAACCTTAACACAGCGTTTGGTTTCCTGTCATTTGATATGTATTGGCATTTCCTTAAGTGTAATTCATATACATATACAAACATCAAAAATCCATTTCACTAAAAAAGAATTTCTGTGTTTAGATTTTTAAAATATGATATATAATAGTGCTTTACTCACTCATGAACCATATGACTATACAGTTGACACCGGTTTAAACTGCACAGGTCCACGTAGTTTTTTGTTTGTTTGTTTTTTTGTAACCTTTCTCCTCTCTGTTTTTTTGTTTGTTTGTTTCTTTTTTCTTTCTGAGACTTTTAGAGAATAAATTTCTTTAAAAATACTAGATCACCCAACCACAGACATTTAGTAGAGTGCAGGACTTCTTGGCCATAATGATTAGATTTCATATCAGTCAGATCATGTTTAAATTATGTGAATGCAAACCAATGAGAATCTATTTCTAATTGTTGACTCGACTATTTGATAACAGCCAGCTCTAAACTCTGTCTCTGCCTCTTTTGTCTTTTTTTGCCAATTTCTTGGAGGAAAATTATATTTCTTGGTTGTATTACTTTTTTTTAGTATTTTATTTTTCATTTTTAAGTTACAGTTGACATTCAATATTATTTTATATTAGCTTCAGGTGTACTTTTTTTTAGATATTTATATAATTTATGACGTGACTAGTCTAGTACCCACCTGGTACTAGATATTTATATAATTTATTTATATAATTTATATATAAATAAATATATTTATATAATTTATTAGATATTTATATAATTTATGACGTGACTAGTCTAGTACCCACCTGGCACTATTCCTAGTTATTACCATATTATTGACTATATTCCTTATGCTTTACTTAATATCCCCGTGACTACTGTGTGACTACCAATTTGTACTTCTTAATCCCTTCCTGTTTTTCACCCAGCTCTCCCTCAATCTCCTTCCCATCTGGCAACCATCAGTTTGTTCTCTGTATCTATGAATCTATTTGTTTTGTTTGTTTGTTTATTCTGTTCTTTAGATTCCACATACAAATGAGATCATATGGTATTTGTCTTTCTCTGTCTGACTTATTTCACTTAGCATAATACCCTCTAGGTCAATCTATGTTGTCACAAATGGTAAGATTTCATTTTTTCTTATATGTATACTTGGATTATTTTCAATAAATATACAGTCAGCCTTCTGTGTTCCTTTGTTTCATATCTGTGGATTCAACCAATACTATTTTGTACACTTAAAATGTTGCTAAGAGGGTAGGTCTCATTTAAGTGTTTTTACCACAGTAAAAAAGTTTAAAAATTAAAAAAAAAAACATTAAAGGCAAACATTTACTTGGCTTATGAAAACTGGAATTTAGAGGGAAAAGAAAGAAAAATGTTTACACTTTCTAACTCAAATAAGAGACAAATACGGCAAAGGGAATAGCATTAGATTTAGTAATTTTGGAACTTAGGGTCTTGTAAATAACAATTAAATTCATAAAGAAGCCAAAAATTGTGGGTGCACATTGTATGAAAACAGATATAGCTGCAGCTCTAGATATTCCAGTGTGAGTGCAAACCAGTTACTGAGATTGTCTTCTATGACATGTGAATGAAATAATGGCAAGAAATAATATTGCAAAAGTTCCATAAAGCCTAGTCCAGCTGTGTTTTTTTCTCAAAGGACACAGGATATTCCCTTAGCTAACGTGTGCTAGTTTCAAGAGGAGAGGATGGGCAGACAAAGGCTGGGTGCTGTGAGACTGGACAAAGGAGGTGAAGACAATGGGTCCTTTATGGACTAGAGGAACACGAGAAGGGATAGGAAAGGTGGTTTCTCTTCCTACAGAAATGTAAGAAGCAGCTTTGATATTAAGTGATAAGTAGCATTTTTACAGAAAGTAAAGTGATGTTGATCATAGATTTTATAAGATCTCATTTCGGTTACTTTAACTTCTACTTACGAGCATGATGTAATTTGCCATGTCAGAGCCAGGAAACATAGGGGAAAGTCGGTAAATGAAGACTAGGTGTTTTAGTTAGAGTTTGATATATATTTCACACTCAAATAATTATAATACTATTTATTTAATACTAATATTTATTTTTAGAGGGGACTAGAAATAATACTTGCACCTTTTTTTAATTTTTGAATTTAGAACCACAGTGTATGTAATCTACAAACTTTATTTCAAATTTTAATTTGAAATTTAAAAATAAATAAGATGGCTGCAGCACTCAGCTGGCAGCAGGTTAATATTAGGCCCTTACAACCAAACCCTTCACAAATGGACCGGCTACTGCTTCCTGCAAGGGAGCACCGGGAGCTAAGATGGTGGCTGGGGCAGGCAACACTGGAGAGGAACAATCTCTTAGAGGCTGAAAGGTACTGGTCAGATCATTCAACTTCTTCCACATCGCCACTTAAGGGTGAGAGTGACAACAGGCAGGAAAACGGTATGCAATCTGAACCCACCTTTAAAAATGAGTCTTAGATCTGTTCCCCTTTACTTAATTAATAGGGTCTGTCAAAATTTGTAAGGTTGTCAAATTGTGCTATAAGCCTCTTATAAAGCCAAATTAATTGCAGGTTTAGAAAGAATGCTACCATAGTAAATTATTATTTTGTACGTTTGTAATCCTGCGAGTATAGCAAGAGCGTGCCAAGCTTTATAGGCGTGCACTAGTTTGGGATTAATCCTGATTGTTTCCACTTCTCAATTCCTTATCATCACAATCCCTGATTACTTTCAATTAGTAAATTCTAACTGGAAACTCTTGTTGAAACATATGTGTGTATTTGCATATTTGCTCTTCTGCTCCTTAATGCCAAGTTTTATATAAAACAAATTGTTAAAGATTTGGATTAATTATTAGAAACTTCCAGCAAGATACTGTATATAATTTAGATGTACATTTTGGTGTAATTTCTGGGGAGTATTTTAGAATCTCCATATTTATGCATGTGCATACAAAGACCATCATTTGTTCTGAGCAAATATGAGAAATTAACTTCTAAATTGTTAAGTAGTTTTAAAATTATTTCATGAAAATTCTCCTTTAGGTTCTTTTGAGCTAATTAAATCTGAAAGTACCTCCTAGATCAGCTAAAGCAAGATTTCATTTGCAAAAAGATTCAAATAGATGAATAATCCCAGTTTTTAAGTTACAAGCGACAAAAACTTTTTTAAGTATAAAGCCGTACTCACCAAGGGCAATGATGATCCATCTTCAAAATACATCTAAAAAGAAAACATACGCACACAAAACTCAACACCTCATACAAGTTAAATCACAGTAAGTTAGTAAAAAAAGAAATACGAAAGTTATTTCAGAAGAGTTGTGGCAAGTAAAATATCGCAAAGTTATTTACTTATCTTAAAATTGAATAAAAGCAAAAATCCTCATCTAGAAATAAGCATGATTCCAGTTATGATACAATAATAGAACTTCAAATTCAAAATACACGTGCTCTAACATACAAATCAAATAACTCATTTTCTAAAAACAATGCGATGTTAATATAGCACTATTTTATGCTAAAGAAAGTACAAAATGTGAACAGATTTACAGCAAGTCTGGATCAAACTTTTCCTTTAATATCAATCCTTAAGCCAAGTAGTACTGTTCTTGTGGTTATACTAAGCATATAATAACATCTGAGTTTCATGAAGTCAATTGAATTAATTTTATCAAGATGGGAAACAGTCACAGAAGTACTATTATAAATCGAACTAGCCAAGTCTGAGCCACTAAAAATAATGCACTTCATTCGTGTCTGCATGCATCTGGGGGGGGTGGGGTGGAGAAGTGGGGAGGAGGGATGGACAACTCTTTGTGGCATTAAGCCACACTGGTATTAATGCAAGTGATTGTTACAGTTATATTTCCTAAATAAAGGTCTGAGAAGCATGAATAAGGAGAAAAGGACATTATCTAGACAACAGTGAGAAACGAAACCAATTTAATAAAAAGACCACCAGCACGGAGACATTTTAGAAGTAAAATGTGTTCTTACTTATCACAGACGGAACAGTGATGGCAGCGATCTGGCTTTATAAGTTGGCATCTGTCACAGTATCGGATTGCTAGGAACAGAAAGCTCCACTTAGCCTTTGATTTAACAGTGAATTGAACATGTACCTAAATGGCTTTTACCATCTAACCAAATTTAAATTCTAAAAAGCATACCGAATTTAAATTGGGTAAAACTGAGGTATTCGACTCTGTTTAAATACAAAAGTGAAATGGCTTGCCTACAGACTCAATTCCCTGGAGAGGCTTCCCAAGCATAGAGAATCTTTGGGGGAAATTTTTCTAAGGCATCCTCAATTGTCAGTGATTATAGTAAGGCTCACAATGGGTGTAAATATGTCCATTTCTACCAAAGTAAACAGAGTGTCTCCCTCAATTAAATCAATTATTTCATGAACCCTACCAGGATAACTAAGTGAGGATACAACCACATTTTAGAAATTTTATGTGAAATACATTTTAGAAATGTATGAATAAACTCTATATGTTGCTTAAATTGGAAAAGATCTCACATCTTCTCTGTTGGAAATACAAGATTTGAAATGAGTACTGGAAGAAGTACTTCCGATAGATCGTTTTAATTATCGTAATTGAAGTCGTGATGCTTTCTTCTCTAATACACATATCAAAGACGGTCATGGATGACTGATTTGAAAAGGCTATTTCAGTCCACAGGCATCTTACAGGATGCAGGAAGGCTACCAAAATTATAAGAAAGCAGTTATTAAGTGGGCTGTCCAGTAGGATCAGTAAAACCAAACTAATGAATTTAAAATTTGGACAAAATACTTGTAATAAGTAATTACCAAGTTCATGTTGGCTAATGTTATAATCTCTGAAAAAAAAAACTTGCCATAAACTAAGAAGAAAATGAGCTTGTCTTAGACAACAAGGCCTAGATGGAGTTGTTTTCAATACTGAAAGAAGCTCTTAATCATCCGCTCACAACTCTCCTTTCCAGGAACTGCAGAGATGAACAGCACGGCCTTGCTGCTCATCTCCTGAGTGAAGTCCCACAGGTGATTTTCACTGATGCTATAAGGTCTCACTGGCTCATGCAAAGTATTCAAGTGTCAGGCAGTGTTGGCCAGAGAGACAGAATGTGAGCCACATGTGTGCTTTTACATTCTCTAGGTGCTACATTAAAAGAAGTTAAAAAAAAACTACAAGGGAAATTAATTTTAATAATACATTTTATTTTACCTAATATATCCAAAACATTAAGATATAATCAATATAAAAATATTAACAATATATTTCATGGTTTTTTTTCATACCAGGCCTTTGAAACCTGCTATGGATGTTATACCTACAGTTGCATTTTAAGTGCTCAGTAGCTTCAAGGGAGTAGCAGTCCTATCATGGGCAGCACTGACTAAAGTCACCAAACTTCCGGGTGATATTTGGTGGGCAATGCTAGATTCTCTCCAGATAACGATTATCTCTACTTTAAAGTACACTGTGAAAAAATTAAAACAAACCTTTCAAATCAAAGTGGGCAATAACTCACAGGAAATCAAAACAATGTAGAAATAAGCTAATTTTTTATCATCTTCTATAAACAGAAATTTGGTCTTTTAATAATAATTAAAAAAAACCACTTGGTGTGCCATATTACATTCAACTAAAATCATCCCAGTGTAATTTAAAATGAACCATCTGATTATTTAAAACTCCTAACAGTCAAGGGGCATTTTATTTTAATGGTCTTGCTTGAATTTTTTGCGAACTTATTCAGATATTACTTGCATAATTTAAAACTTTTTTGGTAAATGTTAAAAAGAGAATGTTATCAACATCTATGTACAATAAGAAACTAATTACAGCACCTCTAATTGTTATCTTTGTAGTCAAACACTATAACATTTTTCTGTAGGAAAGTATCAAGGGCAAGAGAGTGTAAATAGCTCTCATTCATAAAAATAAATACAGTTGGGAGAGCCCTGTAAGAAAGCAGAAGATGGGTGGATTATGAGAAAGCACAGGACAAAGAAGTGAGATGAGAGTCTTCTTAACACCCCTGCCTTACCGCCCCCCACAGCCATGTCTGCATATGGTTGAATTTGTTCTCTGAGCACAGCAGTCAGTTTAACCCAGGCAGCTGGCATTTTTCTCTTAGGGTTTGGAGGAAGTATTGTGGATTTAAAATCCTAAATTATATTACCTCCCCCGCTCTTCAATTCTCTATAAAGCATACAGTGTACGAACAACAGAGCCTTTCAGTTCCTTTGGTCCACCGACTTTCCTGGGGGAAGAAGGAAGTTACCCGTAGAACACAAGGTTCACAGAAGGATGTGGCTGGGGCGGGGGGAAGAAAGATGCTCTCACATTCCTGCCTTGGTGCCACTGTGTCTGCTCCACTGCCTGTCCCTTCTGATTCATGCCCACCTTTCCATTCTACATATTCCAGAAGGGGGTCGATCACACCAGCATTATTATCTATTTATCATACTTTATGCCATTTAACTTAGTCTATGCCTCCAGTCAGTTAATACTGATTTTAGCAGGCATCCAGACTTTTTGCAATGAAAATAAATAGATTATATTAAGAAATCCAGATTCTATTCCAGACCGTCCCAAGTATTGGGAATCATAAATTGATCTCAGGAGATAGGCGTACAATACCTGAAAGGAACAAGAGATGACAGCCTTAATATTATATAAACTACACGAGCAGATGACTTTTAAATCCAAAGTGTAGTAGTTGTTATCATTAATGAATGTTCGTATTTGTTTTGGTAAGATTTATGCTTCCCCCTTTCTCTTAATTCTCTGGGCCAAGCGGTATAGTAGAAAAGCACTGCACAAGAAATGAGGAGACCAGGTTTTGGCACCGGATACTACTGTCACTGTCGTTAACTAATTTTGGAAACGCAAGTAGTAATTTATTTTTAGGGGGTTTAAATTTCCTCAATGTTTGTTGTGGTTTATGTAGGGCAAATATACTCAAACTTATACATAAGCACATCTCTGTGTGGGACAGAACCCGTGGCATGATATTAAATCACAGAATGACCACTTGCTCATTGAGAAACAGTGGAAACAAACAGGAAAAAATTGTGCATGAGACTTTGACTTAGATTCAACTATGATTCTAAAGTGAGTTAGAAACAAATACAAATAATATGAAAATAGTAATGAGATATTTTACATTCTTTTTTTCATACTCAGTCTTTGAAATCAGTTGTGTATTTTATACTTAAAGCACATATCAATTTGGATTAGCCACATTTTAAGGGCTCAATACCCACATAGGTCTAGTGGCTACCGAAATGGGTAGCACAGGTCTCAAGTCACTAAGTTTCTGGGTTAAGTTTTGGTAGGCAAGCGTCAATAGCCCATGTGTTAGTTTTTCAGATGATTCTTTAATTAGCCAGCTGTTAAATTATCTTAAAAACCTGACCCAAGAAAAAGAGATTTGTTTTTTGAGTTGTACTTGTTTAAAAAATTACCATAAATTTTAAAGATGAAGAATTTTACCAATACTTAAATTAAGTTTTATGTAATTTGTATAATTGTTTCAAATGTATATAAAATTATCAGTGTTATGCTCATTATAGATATTGCTCCCTTAAATTAAATTAAATTAGAATAGAATAGGAAGGTTTATAAATTAAACTTTAAAAATGAATGCTAACTACTACAAATCAAGATTTCAGCAGTTCTAACATCGTCACTGAGTCACAACTAGGCAGAATAGAAGTAAAGTCACTTGGGATTCAGTTGAGATCTCTGTGCCACAGTGTTATTCATATTTCCATTCTGTTTTATGGAATTGCGCAGTAAAGATTTAGTAGCAATCCAAGATATAACAATATTTTTCAATGAGTGTTTGACAGTTTCAAGTATATAAATATGCTAACAGTCACCACAAACCATCATGCCAAAGCACTCATTATCGACGTCTACCTCCAGACATGGTCCTGGTATAGATGGGAAGGTCTTTGGCTGCTCGCCTAAGGACTTCCTGATGGGCTTCTCCCCTTGGCTCTCTCTCCAGCAATTCTTTCTCTGCATAAGAGAGATGGAACTGTGGGATAGATTTAAATTTTAATCAGTATTTTCAAAGAAATGATAGCATATGATCTACAATTCCCAGAAAAAGGCATTTATAAAATATTAATAGTATATATATAATAGTATGCACTATATATATACACATATGTGTGTGTGTATACATATACATATACACTCACAAACACACATACATACACACACACACACACACACATATTCAGAGAGGTAATAGAGTTTGAAATCTGGGCAAGTCTATTAACCTCACAAGTTGTTAGTTTATGCATCTAGAAAAGGGAGTAATAATAAAAATACCCTCTTCCTCAAATATTTATGAAACTCAAGAGAAATTGAGTATGTGAAGTGCTTTGTAAACTGTAGAATTCTATCCAAATATTCGTTATATAGATAGATAAAATAGCAAAATAAACAAATTTGGCTCAATGAATGAATGTTTCAATTGGATATTGTTAGTAACAAAAATAGAAACAAATCTATCAAGCATGTTTTCACATCTAAGTGTGTTTTAACTTGGGTATAATTATTACATGAATTCTCCTCTAGTACTCAAAAGGACTAATCATTAATTTTACTTCTTATAGTGCTCGTTTTTCTCTGTGCTCCAACTGATGTCCTGGTCATACCCACCTAACTCTGGTGTCCACACTCCATGCTAGGGCATGGTATAGTGACAAGAGTGCAGCCTGGATGGTCAAAAGGGCTTTGGTTTAAATGTTAGCACTCGATGTACCACCACACACTAGCACTCAATGCTTTAGGATAATTCGCTAATGTTCAAAGCCTATTGCTACATCTGTAAAATGGTAATAAACAATGTCTATCTCACACAGTTATATAAATCAAATATGGTAAATATGTCTTTTGTGGAAAAATCATCCAAAAAAGCCTGGTACAACTCTAAATTCATTGCCATTAATCCTAACTGCTGCGTTAATACTGTGCTATTTCTTCTGTGTTCTGTATCATTTCATTTTTCCACTCTATCCAACAACTATTTCAAACCTTTTCTGCTTTCCCGAACCTCAGTCAACCTAATTCCCTCATTGTTCTTAGCCGATCGTCTCACACATAATTTTGGGGAGCAATTAGAAGTCACTTCAGCTTCCTGCCAAAGCTATAAACACAAACTTGCAACTGTACACATAACTTCTTCCCTACTTTGAATCATTTAGCAAATATTTAGTGAGTACCTTACATGGGTGAGGCACTGCTCTAGGGACTGGCAATGGATTAGTGAATAAAATAAATGAAGTTCATGCCATTTTAGAGCTCATATTCTAGGGATGGTATAAAAAAATGAATATGGAATGTGTTATAGAATGATATATGGAGAAAATATAGCAAGGTACAGGTTATAGGAAATGTTAGGGGTAGGATTTTGCTATTTAATACAGAGTGGTTATAGAAACTCAAACATAAAGTACCACTTGAATAGAGACACAGAGATAGGGAAAAAGTGAGGGACTCGGTCACACAGAAGAGTGTTCCAGGTCAAGGAGACATAGCAGGTTTTGTGGCTCTTGAAGGGAGAACATGCTTAGCATGTTGATGAAACGGCAAGGAAGCCCATGTGATTGACGCTGCATTAAAGAGAAGAGCAGGTCAGAGAGGGGTGATGGACCAGACCAGACACAGCCTTTTAGGCTAAAGTAGGGAACTAAGTTTTCTCATTCTGAGTGGGTTCAGATACCACAGGAAAGTTCTGAGAAGAAAAACACTATGATCTGTCTTGCTTTTGAAAAAATCACTCTGGACACTGTGTTGGAAATATATAGAAGAGGGCACATGTGAAAGCAAGGAAAACTGTTGAATGGGTACTGCACATATACAAGCAAGAGATGATGGCGGCTGGACCAGGGTGGAAGCAGCGGGCGGGGGCAGGGGGGGAAGACGGTGCACTGTGGGTATTCTAAAGGTCTGGCTCACAGAACGTGCTAATTGACTGAATACAGACTCTGACAGAAAAAGAAGAGTAGCCAAGGATGACTCCAAGGTTTTTGACCTGAATAACCGGAAAAATGAAGTTGCCATGATTGAGACAGGAGAATTGAGGGAGAGGGTGGGAAGTCAGAAGTTTGTTTTCAGGTATGTTGAATTCGAAATTCCTATTAGATGCCAAATAGGTAGCTGTAAATACATCTGTAGTTTAGAAGAGATGAGCAGGCTAATGATACTAATTTAAAAGCTATAGCAATAAGACAATAAAGTCATAATGTGGACAGATAAGACAGAGGTCCAGAGATTGAGCTCTGGGATAATCCAATGCTTTAGAGGCTTAAGAGATAATGAGGAACCAGCAAAGGAGACCAAAGAAGGAGTTGACACTGAATAAAAACAGAATTAATTTGGATGAGAAAGGAGATAAGAATATTCTAAAAAGAAATAATAGCATGGTGTACACGGGAAACTACACGTAATTAAGAACTACCAGAGTATGAAGTGGAAAGTCAGAAATTTAGACAAGTGTCATTGTTGCCAGACTAGGAAGACTGGCCTTCACCTCATGGGATACGCGGAGTCACGGAGTAGATACAAGTGGTGGAGTGAAAGTGTTAAATTTGTTTTTAGATGGATCATTCCAGCTCCAGGGTGGATGATGAATTTTTGCAGGGTTTTTGGAAGGGAATGTAGGCAAGACTGAAACCAGTGACACCATTTAGGAGAAAACTGCAATGTCTCAGACAAAAGGGATGATTGAGATCCTGAATTAAGTCAATGATAGAAATGAAGGAAGGAGGGAGGGAGGGAGGAAGAAAGAAAGAAAGAAATGAAGGGGTTGGAACTAAAACAAATATTAGGAAGTGAAAACATTGGCAGAACACTGGTAGAGGTGTGAGGAAGCGAAGGATTCAAGCATGGTTGCCAAGCTTCTGGCTTGAACAATGAGGTGAATGCATTTACTGGGATAAGATACGGATGAGTCACGGTTTGGGGAAGGAGAGGGTGGTGAGTTCAGGTTTTGATGTGTTGTATTTGAGGTGTCAGTGGAAGGATCAAGAAGCTATGTTTGGCAGGGAGATACTGAAATTCACGGGAGAGGTCGGAGCTAGAAAAACATTTGGTTGAACACAGGTCATAGGCAAGCCACCAGAGTGGATGAGATCACCTACAATAGAAGTCAGCATTTTCCTTCAAAACTACAACCAAGGCCAGGATGGGGGTAAGCAAGATGATAAAAAAGAAATAAATAGGGTAGGAGGGAGGAAAAAGAGGTAGGAACAGAAAAACAAGTAGACAGTAAAAGAAAAACAGGCTGTATCTAACTCATTCTAGACCAAGCATATCATTAATTCTGTGCAAATATGTGTGGTTTTGTTTTTAATATCCTTTCCCAGGTCATATAGCATATTTATTGGCTTTTTTGACCATGGCTGCATTTCAAACAGATTATTTCAGGAAACAATTTACAGTGATGCTTAGACTCTTTTTTTTTTATTTATTTAATTTAAGGTTAGCCTACTAAAACTACACTGTTATTACTGGAACAAAGTTTATGACTATTCAACAACCATGTACTGGACTAAATGCCAATGAAATAAAGTGAGTAAGACACAATCTTTTGATTCAAGAATATTCAACCAGGATTAAAGCCCCCAGGAACAAATAGCCAGAATGCTCTTTTCAAAATGTGTATCTGATCAGATCGCTTTACTTAAAAGCTTCTGGGGCTGAGACTGCTGTTCGACCCTCAACATATACTCTTTCCTTCTTCTAACATGGTTAACATGGCCATGAAGAATCAAGGCTACACCTGCAGCCTTTTACGTACAAATAGAAGTGGCCATATAACTAAGTTCTAAATGTACATGGAAATGGCATCAGCAACTTCCAAAGTGTCCTTACTTCTACTCCTATTTCCTACGCCTACTCTTTTTTCTGGCCAGTAGGCTAACATGCAGACATGATGGCTGGAACCAGAGCATGCATCTTAGGCCAAGAGGTGACCTTGGGGAATGGAGACTATACATGTCAGAGCAACAAAACAGAAGAAGCCTGGGGACTTGGCAGCTGTGGGCTAGCTACAGACTTGGAAGGTAGAGAGGATTGGTTAACTCATTACTTTGCTGTTGTTGTAGTTTGGTGTCTAATAGCCAACTAATACACCATTACTATGATAATTATAATAGAAGCCTATCTACCTTCAGGTCTATCTGTTGCCTATTATCAATCTATCTATCATCTCCCTCTCTCTCTCTCTCTCTCTCTCTCTCTCTCTCTCTCTCTCTCTCTCTCTCTCTCTCCATCTATCCTAATGTCTAACTCTAAAGTAGAAATGGAAGACATAACAGATTTAATATTAGAAATACTATACTCATCCAGTACAAAAATAATATTTACCAAGTGAAAATTCAAGTATTTACTAACAGACACATTAATATATATAAAAAAAGTCACTACACTCTATAAGTTCACCACATTAATAAAAAGACATATAATTCATTCTTCAACATCAGTATTATTCACTTCCATCTTTAGGAATAACTTGACTAATATTTTAACTTACTTCTTTTGAAGGATTCATTGGTAACGTAAAGATAGTTTTCCAGTACGACCAGACAAACATTGCAAAAAGTAGATGATAAGCAATCAGGCACACAACTAAAGTGAGAGAAACATAATTATCACTGTAATATGCAAATACATATTAAATCATGATATTCACAAAAAATCTGCTTGTTCTAAAATAACAACATTACCAATTATAATATTCATTTTATTTTGAATTTTATTATTTATTAAGTTTTATTATTGTAAATAAGTTCATTTATGTCATACTGGAATAAGCACAACTCAATGAATACATTTTTACACCTAAAGCCAAGAATTAAAAAAAAAAAGTCCCTAGTACTGTATAATTAGATCTATGCCCATGATTAGAACACTCCCGTCTATAGACAGGCCCAATGATGCACAGGTACCTTTCCTAAACTGTAAAAGTAGGGGGTTATGCCAGCAACTCTAAATAATAAACATAGTGTTACACAAATGTCAAAACATTCAGGCTTTAAGAACTTTGCTTCATGGACAAAGAATAGCAAAAGCCGTTCCTATTTGAGAAGCTGTTTGCTTAGTTGCTTAGCTTTACTCAAATCTGGTAGCCTTCACTGTTTTTATGAAAACATATTTAAATAGAGACCATCTGGACAAAGAGATTTATTCCAATAAAAGTTCAGGCATCTTATCTGTCACATGGGACAACTGTTAAGAAAAGCATTCTGATACTTATTTCAGATAATGTATATAAACACACTTTATGTGGTATTTTATTCTTGAAGTACTATGTGAATATAAAATATTAATTTTGTACACAGTGATAATGACTAATTATGGAATATACATTAATATGTAACAATTCTGTAAGATACAGTTGAATAAAATATGCTAATTTAAAAAGCATATTTGGTATTTTAAAACTTTAATAGCAACTTTAACTTTTTAAAAGAATGATGATGCTCATGTTTATAGAATCATTAAAAATTAAATTATCCAATATGGCACTTCAATCAGTGTGAGATAACTAGAGCCAATGATATTTTCCATGAATTATACAGGCGACACAAATATGGGGTAATTGAAACAGGAAATTGTTGATATTCCCGTATCTTGAAGCCACAAGAACCTTTGGCACAATTCCTGCCATTTCAGGGTAGAGTTCTTTGCCAAGTGTCTGACAGAATTCAGTACGGGGACTAGGAGAATGAGATATCTTTAACCCCATCTTGTCTCTACATTCTCAAAGAATACTTGATTAATCCCAACCAAATCAAAGTGAATTCTATTTGTTTTTGCAAACTATTTTCAAGATCTTTACATCTAAAACAATAATACAATATATTTTACCTTGTTCTCCAATGTTTTCCATGGACACTATAGCAATAAAAAGAAAAAAGAGATAGGAAATAGGTTACATGACACTTACAGCAAACTTAGGGCTTGACAAGGACATAAGGCACTAGAGTAGGTTAATAATTGACCCCGCTTCAAACCAACATTCCGTATTTAGAGGAGAGGCGAGTACTGTGGGAAAGAGTGGAGAGAGAGACAAGTGGCTACATTCAGCCATGCCTCTACTGGCATTTTAGCCCTGGGTCCCACACAGAAAACAAACCCTGCGCAGCGTTCCCCTCCTGGGTCTTACTCCTGTAGTATTGATGGGTTTCTCAGTTTTCCTTCCATCTACAGAGTTCAGAGAAAATCAGTGTTCTCCAGGTTCATTCCATTTCCACAGACACATATTGCTGTTTATAAACTGGGAACCAACTAGTTAATGCTCCCCCCCCAAAAAAATGTTGTGTCCAAAGCACACATTCTTCAAATTTCTATAAATACAAATTCTTATGCTCAATGACTAATTGCTCCCTACTGTGTAATGAGGAGCCCAGGCAATGGGCCTGAAAAACTGCTATCCCTTAGGGGCTGTTGTAAATATCTCAAGATGGCAGGTAGACTAGGGCAGGGACCACAGAGCTGAAACAACCTGGAACAAGAAACTGAATTCAGTAACCCAGGCAGTCTTCTTAGCTTCTGGGTTGTCTACATGTTTTGTTTCCCATTTGGTCTTCCTCCACTGGTACTAAACGTCCTTTTGGTCTCTCAGTTGTAACCTAAGAAGATTGGACTTTGCTTATTTATGTATTTCTATTCCTATTTGGCTTTTTAAAAGGTTACAGTATTCCAGGCCTTACTCCTGGAATATATAAGCAGCACAGAAATCAGAGGATAATGTGAAAGATTTTTAGATTATTTGGTCCAACTAACCTCCTTTCCAAGAGAGCTATTGAATATCTGTTTAGGTATTTCTAGAGCCAGCAGGAGCCCACGGTTTTGGAGAGTAGCCCATTCCAGTATTGGATTGCTCTGAGAACGATGATAAGATTATTGGGTACTAAAATTCGCCTCTTTGTGGCTTCTGCCTATGCTATCTAGGCTTCCAATTTATAGCAATAAACACAAAACCTATATGACAGAACTTCACATACTTACAGTTGTTGTGTCCCCCTTAAAAATGTTCTCTTTTAGCCCAAATAATACACGATTTCTCGATCTCTCACCAACCTTGATGTGGCTCCTTTCAATGATCCCTAGGTTCTCAATTTTCTTTAACGTTTCTGATGCTCAGAATGGGACTGGCAGACACAGAGGACCCTTGACTTACAAATGGCCTGTTCCACAAGTTTGCTTATAAATCGGAGGCTGGAGCGCCAGGGTTCACTTTCTCACAGAATCCCTGCAGGGGTTAGTCTGAGGGCATCGGAAGGGCTGTGGGCGAGCATGTGTTTTCATCTGACCCTACCATTCCTTTATGCATTTCTCTCTAGGCACTGACTTTCCAGTCTTCAAAAGTACTCCAAAATTGACACCAGCTCTTCCTTGGATCAAAATTTCCAATCCTTCAGTGGCATTAATCTAAGGAACTGGAAAAGCAATTTGACTCCATCTATACATGTATGTATGAATGACCCTTAATGGCCATTCCAGAAGTCTTGTTATTTTAAAGAAAACATTTGCTAACCCATGACTCTAGGTGTCAGAATTGAAAAAAGTAAAACAAAATGAAATTTAAAAAGGAAAAAGTACAGTTAGTAGAAACTGATAATTTTTTTGCCCTGGACCACTACTATGTTGGCTGGATATGCGTTGAAAGACATCATTTTTAAAGCTTTTACTTTCCTTCACAGCTTGTTTTTCCCTAAATGTACTTCAAAATCCACAGATTCTCTATTTTTAAAAATTAAACAAGTTGTATGCATGTACATGGATGCACACTTATGATAAATAATTCTAGTAACATTTATAGAATAAAATATGAAATTCAAAAAGGGTGTTTCAATTACACTCCCACAAAGATTCTGGGCCTATCCAATCTCCTATGAATGTGAAATAAATCTTTAACCATTGTCAATATCATAGGCCAAAATAAAAATCACTGTTTTAGTATTGATTTCCCTGATTACTGGTGAAGTTTTCCATTACTTTTAAATATAATGATTGGTTTTTCCTATGCCTTCTGAGTGAATTACCACTTTCCCATTAGTTTACAACTCTTTTACTTACTGAGAGTCTTTTATACATTCTGGACAGTAATCCCATGTCTGTTATATATATTGCAAGTAAAGTTGCATACAACTACTTTCAAATGATTTAATCAATACTAGCAAAATTCTATGGCTTATCATTGATTAAATAACAGTATCAGAATTTTCGAATTGACTTATTTCACTAACAGATATACAGTCTATATTAGGTTTGCTTTATGATACTGAGAATATTCATGTTCTCTCAACCACGTACACCTAAGTAGTAGGTCAATGATTCACCTGTAATTTTCAGTGTAGCGGAAGAGTTGTCAATTTCAACATTTCCTTTCTCATTATAAAAAACACATAGAATACAGTGGCATTTTCAAATGCAAATAGTTTTGTTCTTAAATAATTTTAAGAAAAAAGGTTGCAATTTACTCTTGGGAATAAGGGCACTGCATTAATACACTAAAATATTTACTATTTGTATATTTGGTGATCATCTACATATCCCCACCCTTTATCTTTTGCATGAATGATCAAGCAATCATTTAATCCAGGGGCCGGTCAGGAAACTATATACTTCAGTCCAAATACAGCCAGCCACGTGTTTCTGTAAATAAAATTTTATTGGCACACAAATACACCCATTTGTATACATGGCTATTTTTGTGCTACAATGACAGAGCTGGGTAGACCCAGGGGAGAGTTAATGTTGCAGTCCTGGGGATTCCAAAGACAGGCTAGAGACAGAATTCCTCCTTTTTTAGGAGAGCTCAGTCTTTTCTCTTAAGGCCTTCAACTGAATGTATGAGGCCCACTGACATTATGGAAGGTAGCCTGCTTTACTCAAAGTCTATTGATTTAAATGTTAATCACATATTGGGCCGGCCGAGTGGCGCATTGTTTAAGAGCTGGCTGGGGACGCCAGACAGACGGCCCCAGTTTGGATCCCACATATGAGGGCCAGTGACACTGCCCTCCACAGCTAAGATGCCGAACAACAGCTCAACCTTGGAGCTGGGCTGCTGTGAGTCGCTGGTGACGGCAGGTGGGTTGCCATGGGCTACCGTGTGTGGCCAGCAGCCAGCGTGAGCGGCCAGCAATCGCAGTGAGTGGCCATCCAGAAGCCGGCGACTGATCTCCCTTGCCCAGGAAGAGAGTAATGATGGTGCCAACTTGGGCCAGTGAAGCAATGTCCTCCACAACTACACTGAAGAACGAAAGGACAGCAAATTGTCTGTTCCCCTTCCCCCAATTCCCCAGCGCTGTTCCCATCCCCTAATTCCATAATAAAAATCTTAAAAAAAAAAGAATGTTAATCACATATAAAAAAATACCTTCATGGTAACATCTACACTGGTGTTTAATGAAACAACTGTCCACTGTAGCCTAGCCAAGTTGACACGAAAAGTTAATCATCAGACACCAAACCTATAATTTAGTTTTATTATGGAAATCTTCTCTAAGAAGATATGCGTTGGTCTTTTGTATCAGTTCTCCAGACAAGTTTGTTATTTATTATAAATGGAAATTATATCTAGCAAATTAGCTACAGTATATCTTTATGTATCTGCTAGCAGGTGAACAATACAATTCTTTGTCATACTCTAAAAACCTGACTATAAATAATCCTATGCAAATTAACTTTATACACCCACATAATTGCTAAAGATGCTATCAAACCCTATTCCCTAAAGAGTTCTAAAAATATTAGAGCTGACTTAGTCTAGATTGATTTAAATTCCATCTTGATTAAAAGCTGGGGATCAACTCAAAGATTATTCCAGCCCTATATTTTTACCAACTAATGTTTTAACATTTGGTTTTGGTGATTATGCATTAAGAGTTTGTCAAATATTGTATTCCTTGGTAAGTTGAAGCCCAGTAAACAGTTGGTAACAAATCTAGTTCAACTTTTAGTCATAAGTACATCCAAAATGGAAAACTTCAGGTACTAAAATATGCTTTCACACTAGATAAAAAATGTACTTTCCCCCTTAAATTAGCAAAGAACAGTTACATAATTTGGTACTTTCATTGCACATGTATATTGCTGTGATCTTTTTATTTCTTTTCTTAATCTGAATTTTCTTTTTCTTGCCTTCAAATTTGAGCTCTCTCTTGAGGAATAATATACCCACAGTGCATATACACAGCGACTCCTCTATATAAAACCACTACGCCATTTCCAAATTCAGTCTGACACAGATATATCTTAGCCACATATATGCAGTCTGATAAAGAGGAATACCAAAAATGAAGATATAGTTCTAATGAATGAATCATAAGGATAGCTTTATAACCAAGCTCTATTTTATTTTCCCCTGCCTCTCTTTAACTCATGTCTTGAAAAACATTCACTGACTATACTTACACTGAGGATAAAATGTTAAGATTGTCCCTGTGCTCAAAAAGCTTCAAGTTTATGAGATCATTTCAGCTGGAAGTTAAAACTAACTGAAAAAAAACAAGGACACAGTTAATAAAACATTTTCAATTAATCACAGAAGCAGGTCCAAAGATTAAGACAAAAATAACACTAGTAGTACAGGTATATTTAAATAGTGAACAAAATCTCTCCTTTGACCTCATGTCTCTAGCTGTCATCCCATTTCTCTGGCCCTTCCACAGGAAATCTCATTTTAACAGTCATCCAAATGCAATGTCTCCACCCCCTCTAACTTCCTACTATTTCCTCAACCAACTCCTGTGGGTCTTTCATCCCAAACATTCGCTCACTGCTGGTGCTCCTGCCAAAGCCACCAACACCTTTGTGACTGCTAATTCCCATTCCTCAACTTATTCTAACAGAATCATTGACGCTCGTTTTGAAAGACTTTGTGG